GCTACATGACAGGGTCAGAGCATCTCCAAAGTGGTATGTTTCATGGGGTGATACAGGTATGCAGTGCTTAGTACCTACCAAAAGTGATGCAAGGAAGGACAACTGGTCAGGGTTATGGGCAGCCAAGGCTCTCTGATGCACATGGGGAACATAGGCTAGCTTGTCTCCTCCAATCAGACAGAAGAGCTAGCATAGCTCAAATGGCTGAAAAACTTAATGATGGCCATGATGGAAAGGTACCTGAACACCCAGTGCGTCCCAGTGTGCCCTTTATGGGTGTGTGTAGCTGCAGACTGGTCAGAGTGCCCATGATATTGGGCAGGTAGTTTTAATGTTGTGACTGGCAAGTATAAACAGGAAACGACTTGATGGCAAATAACATACTAAGAGGTGAATTCTTTAGTGCTGCCATAGCAAAAGCATTACTGTAATAGAGTATGACTGGATAAAGTAAAAGTGATTTGAGTATCATGAGATGTGTGTCTGTGGTGTCTAGAGACTGAATGGTGTGAATTGGCTACAGGAGAAACATACTGGTGTACCATCTGAGATAGCTATGTTGCAGTCTCCTATTCACCTAATTTGTGGTGACATCCACCTATATATGGGGATTACAACTTTTGCATTATACTTGGTGATTTTTATTTTAATGCAGCATACTTTATGGGGACTATGTATCCAGTTCTCTGCTGTACTAGTAATATGCCCTGCAGCCTATGTGGTCTTGTGCTAGAATCATGTTCCTTGAGCACCGGCAGAAGGAAGGGCTGGTAAAGCACTTCTGAGGGCTTTATATCTACGCCCGATATGTGTAACCGTCAACTCAATAGTTAGAAGCAAATTGCCATGTTGAATTATGCAATTTAACCTGACAATATCCTTTAATGGATGGTTAGTTTTATTAAACCAGTTTTCACATACTAGAGGAGCAATTCCATTGGTAACGTAAAAGTGGTTCTTGAATTAGGACTCGGATATTCTGCTGCCCTTTAAAATCATTTCCCACACTGGATTTTTCTGTTAAGGACTCACTTCTAGGAACACCGTCTGTTATCTTGACACCTTTTGCAGTGATATCATGGTTAATGTTCTACTCCAGAGGTGTTAACTCTGAATACACCGTTGTTGTTGTTGTTGTTGTTATATTGGAAGGTTTTCAGCTTCCTTTATTGTATTTTCCTTGTGTGGGTAGATGTGTCACTTGATTTCAGCATTTTAGTACAGAATTTGTATGGATATGCAGAGTAGTATATAAGTACTCTTCCACAGTGGGAGTGATCTTGGAAATTGAAAATATAGTATATGAACCAGAAAGTACGCCCAGACCAAGAGAAATAGATGTCTACCCGACTGATGAAGTGCTGGGGTATATCCTAGTTGCACAATCAGGCACATGAACAAGCATGTGACCAAGGCACGCCATAGCACCTTTCAATTAGCCAAGGCAAGTGGCACAGACCTTACAAAGACCTATGTGCATGCACCTGTAATAGTTATATTTATTGGCTGAAATCCATAACTTATAACCATGAAAAGCAAAAGCTGGCATCAGCAAGGGAGAACATGAAGGCAGAAACCCAGTTCAGAAGCAGGCAACAAGTCTGCTGTGCAGGAAGTCGCAGGTTCAGTCCCTGACAGCCACAGTTTAAAAAGCAGTCTGGAGGAACTATTGACAAATACCACATGAAAAATTAATAAACAAAAGCAGCACCAAAAGCACATTCAAAGCAATCAGGCTAAACAGCCCTTTCAAAAACCCCAGTCATATGACCATTCGCTGAGTGAAACGTTGCCTGAACAGAAAGGTCTTCACCTGCTTGTGAAAGGAGAGGAAAGATGAGGACAGCCTGGGCTACGGTGGCTGGGAGTTCCAAAGTCTGTGAGCATCTTTGAAACACAGCTGCATCAGCGAACACTTCCTGGATGCTGTTATAATACTGTTATGTGTTTAAAATACCTAATATATTTTAATATGTTATGGACTCCTTATAATATCTTATTAATGGCAGGGGCAAGAGAAAGTATCTAAAAAGAGTCAACCATGGGTCCAGGGCTACATTTCTGTGATTGTGTTTTCCTTATTCAATGTTCTTTTTGGTGTACATGCCGGAAATGTTCTTTTTGGTGTACATGCCGGATGAGAGATTCGGGGGTTGGGCCTCCAAAAGTTATTTTTTGGGACACCAGCTTAGAAAAATATCTAAATCCAAAAAGGGGGAGATTTACTCTCAGAGGGCTTGGTGACATCATCACCAGGACTCAGCCAATCCTGTGGGGGCTGCTGTTGATGCTGCCTTGCCAACTTTATGACATCACAAGGTGCCCACCTCTCTGCTTGCAGATAAAAGGGGCTTGAGAGGCAGGGCAGGAGCCCAGAGGAGAGGACAGGGGCCAGAGAGCAGTCCAGCAAGAGAGGGGCTGCTGGAGACACAGACCTTGTCAACAAGGCAAGTTCTCTATTGAACTTGCTAAGTGGGCTTGCAAGTTAGCCGCTTGAAGCTGAAAGAGATCTGGGCTTGTGTCAGCAATGGACTAGGGGGAAGCTGGTGGACGTTGGCAGACAGAAGCTGGTGGAATCGAAGCTTGGTGATTTCGCAAGACAGAAAGTGGAAGCAGGTTGGCGGATGAAGCTGGTGGAAGTTAGTCTGCTGAAATCAGCTGGCTGAAGCTTGGTGGATGTGGATGGAAGCCTGGGCGTGTGTATAGGAATGAGTGGTGGAGTGAATGGGCGGGCTGGCGTTCCATGGGGATGTTGCCGGGATATGTGTGTGACCGATGCATTTGGGAGCTGGCAGAGGCTGGTTTCAGAAGTGGAGTGCAAGAGATGAACGGGCAGATATTCCTGATGGAAGCCAGTGTATGTTGGCAGGCGGAACTTCGAGATGAAGTTGCTAGAACTCTGGTCAGTGGATGCATCTAGTTTGAATGCTGCTGATAGCGGTGGACAAGCTCGTCCCTTAGTTGATGTTTTTTTCTGTCTTTGTCCTGCAGGGCCAGGAGTTTACTCTTCCCGAGGATCATGATGCGGCATCCTGCTGTAGCTAAGCCAGGCCGTCTCTGCTGAGGGCCAAAAGACCCGTTTAGCATCTTTTCAAAAACCAATAAAAGTATTTTTCAGAAATGGTTACCAAGTGTTTTCTTGTCTGTCAAGGGCTGCCACGGCAGCATCTTCCCCTTGGGGACAAATGGCACGGGGTGGGTCTTTGTGAGGTTGTGGGGCCTTGTGATATCATAGGAGGTAGGAGCCTCTCAACAGTGGCAAAATAATGTCCCTGCATGCATGTGTGAGAGAGTGAGAGAGGCATTATGGGTGTCTGTGAGGGTTCAGTTTTCGGGGCTGTTTGTTCTCCAAATAAAGGACGGGTCGGTTGAGGTAAATCAAAGGGTTCAGTATTTATTGCAACATCAACTCCAACAGGGTTCACGCCTAAAAAGGGGTTCAGAGATTCTTGCAACATGTTACTCGGTTTCAACGGGGTCCATAAACTATTTATAAAAGGGTTGGTTGTCTCTGGGTTCCAAGGTTCTGTTAACAACGGCACAGTACCCTGCCCAGGGTCCAATTCGTCTTCCAGCGAGATCAAAGGAATAGTCTCTTCGTCCCCGCTCCACTCACCCCAGGACGACTCGTCTCCTCCATCGACTCCCCAGGGGCCGGGTAACCCCCCAGCTTCCTCAACTCGGCTATATGCCATTGCTTCTTCCGTTCTAGCTCTCGGGCTACCGCTTCCCTTTCTTCCCGGAGCTTCCTCCTCCACTCCTTGGCCTCGGTTTCACCCCAATACGGGCGAGTTTTCAGCCCAAGCTGGCGGTGTTTCTCCGCCTCCTCATGGGGGACTCGGACCTGCTCCCATTTGTGGGTCCAGGGATCCTCCATCCAGATCCCCTCCCATCCCCCCCCCCGGTATCTCTGCCGGCTTCCCGCCGGCGCCTCAATCTCCTCCCTCCTTCTTCCCACCAAAGATTCCCCGGGTCCCGGGGAAAGGGTTAACCCTTTCATAGTCGCCTCCAGGTCTCGCGTATCTACCCCCTTATTTAAGGTAAGGGGTTCGGCGACCACTTGCTCCCAATCTGGGGTCTCCACGCCTTTCTCTTCCCAACGCGTTGGGGACGGAGGTGGGGATGTCTGCGTGTGGAGGGTTCTCTTTGAGAGCAACGGCACTCCCACTAAGGCCTCCACTTTGGGGGCCTCACAGTGTCCTGTACTACAGATATGTGTGTGAGAGATACAGGAAGCTAGTGAGCCCTGGTGCCAATTCAGAGAGGGTACAAGGTGTATAGTCAAACACTATGGCCACCCCATAGCAGTAAATGAGATTTCTGTTCCTTTCCTTCCACCATGGCCCTGAGACCTGTCTCCCTGAACTGGGAGATTCAGCTGAGTACAACCATTCCTGGCATTGTAAGTCCTTTACTGAGACCAGGCAAGCTACGCCTCATGATCACCACCATCTCCTGCATCACTATGTATGCTCAAAGAAGCTTACCGTCCTACCTCTCACACCACTACCACAGTGGAAGGAATTAGAGTTGGAGAGGTTTGGGGAATATCTTACATTCAAATCATGCGGATCCATGCTTAGGATGCACTGCAAAAATGCACTGCCTGAGCGAAGTGGCTGCCTCTGTGTGCCTAGTGGCACATCTTTCTTGACTGCTGTTCTCAGTGGTACTAAAAGGTGGATCCAGAAGCATGCTCTGAAAAAAGGACAGTCCTGTGCCTGCTGACCCCGCAGTAAGTTACCTTCGGCTCAGTTGGACTCTGAGGAGACAGACACATTTAGGCTTGCAAATGTCTAGCTGTAAAGCAACTTCTTCCTGCAAATGGGCCTATGTGAATTTGTCCAATGAATGTCCCCAAGAGCAAAAGATCTGGGCCACTTGCCTGCAACATCGTCAGTGCTTATTGCACTTCTGGTCAACCCAAGATGACCCACAGCAGTCTGCTTAAAAAGTAGCCACAGAGACAAGTCCTTAATCACTACAGCTGGTATTGCAAAGCGATTGAATTTAACGCAAATGAATTAACCTGTTAGGAAAAGAACAACCTGGAGATGCATAGCCCCACAGCTCTCTTAACATACATGCCATGTTCCTGGTATATAGGTTTAAGGATCTTGGAAATATGAAGGAGAAATGTATATGTGGACACACACTCTCCTTTACTTGCGTACGTAAGAATATGTTTTAGAAAAAGAGAAATGTGATTGAATTCCACTAAATTGGAGCCCATAAATTAGTTAACATTATTTAAATTAAGTAATACTTATTTACAATTAAAATTTGTGTGGTACTGGAATGTGAGTTTTGCAATGTTTAAATGACGTACGTTTTACTTTTAAAAATCTTTCAGGTTTTTTTTTCTATAAAAAAGTTTATTTCCGATCTGACCCTTGCAGACAACAATTGGCTGCCACAACACAACATTATTAGTAAAAGGCCTATGTCCTACCTCTCCACTGTAAAACAGCAACATTTAAAAATGGGGTAGGAAGACTTCTTTAAAAAGCTTGGGATGTGTGTTTAAATTTATTATTTTAAAAGGTGATATGTTATAGCACATCATTTAAATATCAGGGTGTAAAAAAAAGCCTGTTTAAAAAACACTTGCCTAAACATAAGAATCTTTACTAGATGGCAGGCATTAACAAGAGAGGAGAAAGGTCTACCCACGCAAAGGTGCTAAAGCAAACTCTTTATCACTTAACCATCTATTCCAAAGGGGGGGGGATAAAGCTATCGATGTATGGCATGCTTCAGTTTATTTATTTAGAAGTTATTTTAAATTTATACACTTTTCCACTGACTTCAAGCTGGAATGCCCAGTCCTTCTGGCCATGTTATCTTCACAACAATGGGTGCAGCTAAACCAACAGCAGGAAGCCAGCCAGTGTGGGCCTCAGTTGGAACAGTCAGGCAGGATAAGGATATTGGCAGATTGAGCCCTTCCCCTCCTTGGTGGGAAGTGGGAAGGAAATGGGGGGCGGTTAATGGTTATGTTGGCAGATTGAGCCCTTCCCCTCCTTGGTGCAGGGCAGAGGATGTGGGAAGGAAATGGGGGGCAGTTAATGGTTATGGGTTTCTCGGGCTCTTTGGCCGTGTTCTGAAGGTTGTTCTTCCTAACGTTTCGCCAGTCTCTATGGCTGGCATCTTCAGAGGACTGGAGTAGCACTCTCTGCTCTGGTGCAGTTTGTTTGGGAGTTGAGTATTTATGGCTGTGGGATCAGCCAAAGAGCCTGAAAGACCCACAACCACCATTAGACCCTGGCCGTGAAAGCCTTCGCGAATACATGGTAGGGTACCTAAAAAATGGCAGAGTTGATTCACATGCCTCCTAGGAACATAGGGACCTTGTCAATTTTAAAATATTTTTAATTTGAGAGGTGGGAATCTGTGGGCCCCAAGAGTGCTGGCAGTTGCATTTGGACATTTTGAAGCCACACGCTGCCTGTGATGATAATTCCCAGCTGGACCCTCCAGCTGACCGGCCCTGGATTCTAATAGTCTCTCTACTCCTTAGCCCTTTCCATTCTGAGGTGGGGAAACACAAGGTAAGCATAGGGGTAATAGAATCTATTGAGCCATTTCCCCCACTTCCTGGCATACATCACCTTTCTTACAGTTGTGCCTTTGGAGTAGTGTTACACATCCATGCTCATGCACATTTTCTCACTGCCAACCCCCCCCCCCAATTCTCATTTCAGCTTTTAGTGGCCTGACAAAGTGGTTCCGACTCTAGGAAAAATACTTTGATTTCCTTTGAATGCAAGAATCCACCCAACTCCTTGATCGTATTTTATGTATTTTATTTTAAAAAAGGAAAAAGAATCAGGAGAGAGATTAAATGGTTACAAAAGTGTAAAGTTACTTTAAAAAAAATCTTGCAAAGTCTTGGATCTTTTCACAAAGTACACACTTAGGAACATAAGAAACTCCTAGATAACCTAGCCTTTACTTGTTCCTAACCCATGCTGTCACCTGAACAAGGTTTACTCTTGTGCAAGCAGACTTGTTCCTGGAGAGAGGACATGGAGTGTCTCTTCCCCCCCCCCCCATGTTGAGGATGACCCTTCTCCTGTTTTATGCTTCTATCTGCCTGTTTTATGCTTCTTTATAGAGAAAAATGCCTAAGATTACAAATGCCTCAAGTATGGGCCCTCAGGGCTTAACCCTCTGAAGTGACTCCAGGCAAATGCATTACCTCTTTAATGGGGCTTAATTCTTTAATAGGAATTGTCACACCCTCTAGGCAGGAAGTAACTTGCCCGAAGAATCAGAGATATACCATATATACCAAAGCCTGCTTTGAACCAGCTCTCTGATAAACAGCCAGGAGAGCCAGGATTCCCTTTGAAATACATTCTGGCCATGGTAGTGACAGAGGCAATGCAGATGTTTATCTCCTTTCGATCTTTCATTCTTTCTTCCCACACACCTCATGATTTTTCCCAACACACATTATGATTTCCATTTTTTAAAAAAAAAAAACATCTCTTATTATCACTTTACATTGCCTATCCAAGGTGTAATGTTTAGAGGGCTGGACTGAGGCTTGGGAGTTTAGGTCCCCACACAATCAATAACCTCACTGAGCATTGGCCCAGTTACTCTGAATAATCTACCTCGGAGAGTATTGAAAGAAGAAAGGATTAACTCCATGGGGACACAATCAGTAGCATCAGGATTTGAGGCACATTCTTCCTGCAGCTTTCTCCTGTGCTTCAAAGATGCTCTAGTCTAGAGAAACTGTAGGTCCTCTGGAGCTCCTTTTTGGGGTGCTTCAAGGCTTCTGTGGGGAAGAGGGATTGCAGCCCCCTTTTATGCTGCATGCAAATTCTAAACATCTCCAATAATATATCTAGCACTTATTTTAGGACATGAATAACCAACAGCAAGTTTGCTGTGAATATTGCTTCAGTCCTGTACCCATTAAGAAGCAAACCCCACGGAGCTCCAGGGGATTTATGTCTGTGTGGACACATAAAAGGTAAAGGTAAAGGTTCCCCTTGACATTTAGTCAGTCGTGTCCGACTCTAGGGGGCGGTGCTCATCCCCGCTTCCAAGCCGTAGAGCCAGCACTTGTCCGAAGACAGTTTCCGTTGTCACGTGGCCAGCACAACTAGATGCAGAATGCTGTTTCCCTTCCCACCGAGGTGGTACCTATTTATCTACTCACATTTGCATGCTTTCGAACTGCTAGGTTGGCGAGGAGCTGGGACGAAGTGACAGGAGCTCACTCCGTCGTGTGGATTTGATCTTATGAGTGCTGGTCTTCTGACCCTGCAGCACAGGCTTCTGCGATTTAGCCTGCAGCGCCACCACGTTCCTCTTGTATCCATTATCCATTAAGATCCTGTATCCATTAAGAAGCAAACCCCACGGAGCTCCAGGGGATTTATGTCTGTGTGGACACATAAAGATCACAGTAAATTCTTGCATCTAAGGCCAGCCTTCATTACTGGGAGATGTGAGATCTAGAATAATTGCTACCCACTTTTGAAATAAAAGTAATAATTTAGCAAGATAAAAATGTAACCACTAATCAAAGGCCAAACACACACATGAGCAACACACTCATGTGTGTTACATGTCTACACAGACATAAATCCTTCTCAGTGTGGGTGCAGGATTGAAGTAGCATTCACAGCAAACTTGCTTTTGGTTATTCATGATCTAAAACAGTGGTTCTTAACCTTTGTTACTCGGATGCTTTTGAACTACAACTCCCAGAAACGCCAGCCAGCACAGTTGGTGGTGAAGGCTTCTGGGAGTTGCAGTCCAAAACTCCTGAGTAACCCAAGGTTAAGAACCAGTGATCTATAATAAGTGCTAGATATATTATTGAAGATGTACCTGTCAAGAATTTAGATGCATTCTCTCTGCCTTTTGAAAATACAGTGGTGCCTCGCTTAGCGAGTGCTTCGCTATCCAATGAATTCGCATAGCGAGGGGGTCCGGGCCATCGCTGGAGCGTTCACTCAGCGATGGCCCCTATGGCGATTTTTCGCAGAACGCGATCTTCGCAGAACGCAGCGGGGGAGAACAGCTGATCGGCGGTTCCAAAATGGCCGCCAGAAGGTCCGCGCCGCATTTTCGCGCCCTGCCCTCGCTTACCGAGGGCGCGAAAATGGCGGCGCTATGGAGAAACATCGCTTAACGGGGAGTTTTCAAGCCATAGGAACGCATTGAACAAAGTTCAATGCGTTTCTATGGCTTTTTTATACCCGTTTAGCGATGTTTTCGCATAGCGAAGGTTAATCCAGAACGGATTAACCTCGCTATGCGAGGCACCACTGTATTATGTGCTTGCAATGCCAATAACACATTTCTCTATTCAGGCTTGAATTCATAATACCCCTGGATAGCTTTGCCAAGTTAATCATTGATGTAACTGTTATTTATACTGTAACAGAATGTCCTAGTAGCACATTGAGGGTCAATGCACAGTTCTGCTGTAGGCCAGAGGTCAAGTGCACTTCCTTGATCCCTCTGATGTATTGCAGACTCCTAAAGATGTGATGTGCACAAGAAAAATGTGATGAATCACAAGTAGAATATTGAGAAGGTGTCATTATTTCAATCTTTTCTGGATGTTTGTTTGCTTGGTGAAAACTAGAATTCTAGAATAAAGAGCAAAGCAAAAAAAAATTAGTAGCACAATCTTAGAAACCCTTTCTTTGGAAACAAACTCAAGACTACAGAAACCACAAGGAAGTATCTTAAGAGAAGAACTGTTAAAATCACACCTTGGAAGTTACTTATTTGGACTACAACTTCCAGTATCCCTCAGACAATATGGCCAGGGGGCACCATTGCTGGGGATTCTAGGAACATAGCAACTTTTCCAATCTCAGGACCTGTGGTTCCTCCCAAAACGGAAATGGAGAATTCATGTCCATATTGCGCTGCAAAGGCCACATTTTTTTGAAAATCTCTTACAGGTCCATTTCCCCTCAACAGCTTTGTTTTCAAGCTAATTTTTAGAACTAACTGAAGACATCCAAGTGACAACTTCTGACATGAAAATTAACTCTCCCTGGGAAGCACTATGTCACTAAACTCCACCCACTAGAGCAAACTGCAGAACAAAACAAAAAATAAACAAAACCACACACACCATCTACTCAGAAGGAACGAAAAGGGACAGAAAAGCCAGGGAAAAGGCAATGGTCTCATTGGACTTAGTCTTTTGTCATGTGGACAACCCAAATGATCAGTGCTGAAGAAGATACTTTTTCTGGAAAAATGGTCTGACTGCACAAGACTATAATAATTGAAAAATATTCATAAGACAAACTGGGATACTGCTGGTTTTTCATCCAGTCTTCCATCTCCTTAACTATGGGTCACAGCTTCTCACTGTAATATATAGTGTCCACTTTTGTGATACAATGGCAGGGCCAACTGGATGATAAATTAGTTAGCCACCCAAGCCCTTATGTATGTTTACTGACTTACAATGAATACCAAATGAATGTACTAGGCTAGCCCCACTCATTTGATGACATGGTACACATCTGCCATACCCTGGGTTGTGTATGACAATCACTGTCAGCCATGGTGTTTCCATACCTTCAACAAGTAAAAATACAGTCAGATTATTTTGGTATATGAGCATTTCTCCCCATTCCCAGTAGTAAAAATAATTCTCAGTTCTGTGCATTTTTAAGAAACCCAAAACCTACTATCTGTGGTGGGTCAGTCCCAGTTAATCTGAAGAAAGTTGTTGCTACAAATGCATGGTGTCTGTCTTGCTAAAGGGACACATGATTACCTGTTCCCATATGTGAAACTCTACATTCATAGAGCCAGTCCCCCTCGGATTGACAACATAGGTTGACCAAAAGATACAGCTGCCACAGGGGATGAGACTGGCCCTGAACATTCTCAGTGGCCCCCTCAAATGTTGGGTGTCAGTGGATTCTGACTGCTTGCATGGGGATCTAAGGCATATTGTCCATGCCCATATTGTCCATGCCACAGCAGCATGTGGATCTGTGAGCCTCATGGAGTGGTGGTTAAACTGCTGTGCTGTGGCCAAAACTGTGTTCACAACCCAAGTAGGTTGTTCAATCCCAAGTAGCCAGCTTGAGGTTTACTCAGCCTTCCATCGTTCCAAGGTCAGTAAAATGAGTATCCAGCTTGCTGGAGGGGGAGGCAATGTGTAACCTGCATAAGTAACTTGTAAACCACCCTGAGAGTGCTTTAAGCACCATGGGGTGGTATATAAGCAGCATGCTTTGCTTTTTTGGGCCAGGTTTCACCCATCGTTTTAGTGCAGCTGTCACAATTTGACAGTGCAATAAAGAAGCCTATGTGATATCAAAGAAGTCATTGATGTACTCTCAGTACAGGATGTCTTGCAGCCCTGATCTGCCTCTAGGCCTCAAGCAGTTTCTGGCAGTAATTCTGAAATGACTATGAAGAAAGGAATGGAATGATAGCTCCTTCCTTTTAATAAATCACTTGTGTTTGGATGGTGTCATTACAAAGGCTAGTCACTAGGAGTCACTGGACTTTGTTGTTTCTGAGTGAAGTCTGGTGTTTTCTGCTACCATGGCATTCTTGCTGGAGAAAGACAATAGCCAAAATCCCATTGCACTCAAATAGGCCCATTGGATCATTGGGGGATTTGTTGCGTCAACTCCTTTGTATGTTCTATTGATTTAAATAGGTCTAGTCTAACAGCAACTTGGGGCTTTCTCAAGTGCAATTTACTATGCTAAGCAACAGGATTTTGGCCATTAAATACTTGCCTATCTACCTTGTTGATTAATCTGTACAGTCATTAAGTGGGGGAAAAATGAAACCCTTTTATAGGAAATTTATTTTTCATAAAATTGTCCATGAAAAATGATGGCAAAGCACTGAAAGGAATCCCTGGCATTAAAGTAAAGATCGTAACAGTTCTGTACAGTGTTTGCTCTGCCTCTAGGCATGTCACCATATCACCCTAAGAAAGCTCTTTAGTATCCTTTTGACCTCACTGCAAGGAAATATCTGTGCCTGTTGGCTTCATTATGATATGGACAGCCACTGCTTATACAAATACAAGTACATGACGCTCTGCCCCAGGCCAAGCATATTCAAGCAAGCAATCACACAAATACACCCTTAAACACACACACACACACAAAACACACCCCAAATGAAAACAGTCATCAGTTTCTGTAATACCACACAAACCCAGAAGGTGGCACTTGGAGATCAATTTCATCTGTTTCAACACTCAAGCCCTAGTTAGTACCTAACTTAAAATTAAATAAAACAGATGTGTCCTTTCAGCACCTTGGGGTAGATGGATCCTTCCTATTGTTTCATCTGTTAGTACAAGACGGTTGGATTAATGCTTTTAGAAAAATACAGAATCCAGCTTTTCTGCCACATATATTATTTAGAGCACTTGGTTTTCAATTTTTTAAAAAGTATTCAAATGCCTGCCAAGTCTCCTTTCACAGAACCTGCAATAAATTAATAATATTGCTGGTGAATTTAATCTGTGCTTATTATTATTAAAATAATAAAGAGTGTGTCCTCTTTCTCTAAAGCAGAAATCTTAAAATCTTGAGGTTGCAGACCTAACTCAACAGGGATCCATTTTGGCATTCATTTTGGAAAGGCTAGGTTCATTAGGATTTCTGCAGACTTTTCTGTGGTAAACCAACTGCGTAATTCTATACAGTATACACGTCTCCTCCACACCTTGGAAAAGGTATTTTCTGGATTACAACTCACAGAATCCCCAGCTTGTTGAAATCTCTGTGGTAGACTTTAAGACTGAAAAGCTATTGGGATTTTATACTGGTACAAAGAGAAAAAAATGTGTGAATCCTGCAGGCTAACTAATTTTGCTCTATGAACGAAACTAGGAAGCATCGCTAGGGAGTTCTTGTTATTTCTTTTAAAAGCAGAATTTGTACCATTCCAAGAAACAGCTTAGAAAAAATGACATTCGACAGGGAAATTGCTGCTTAAATTGCTTCATATATGCCAAGAAACATGATTCTAAAATTAACATCACAAAAAAGCCACAATACTTTCTATTGTTAGAAAATCACCTCCCCAGTATGTTAAAGACAATTTACTATCATTACAACAGATTTTTGTGTGTTTTTTAAAAAAAATCTCAAATTAATATAAACGTTTTGTGCGCTAGAGAAACTTTTTGAACTCAGTTAAAACTAAAACTGCTTATCTGTTATTCATGTTGGGGAGCATGCTGTGTTCTGTTGTTGTTTCATCATCATCATCTTAGAACTAAAGAGCTGGAAGGGACCCTAGGGTTAATCAAGTCCAGCCCCTGTCAAGGGGACACAGTGGAGAATCAAACTCCCAGTCTTGGGCTCCGCATTCAGACATCTGAGCCACTAAGCCAGGCTTGTCCAACCTGCGGCCCGAGGGCCTCATGCGGCCCAGGTCAGCTCGTAATGCGCCACAGTGCAATTTTTTATTTTTAAAGAAATTCCAAAGTTTCAAGTTACACTGCCGGCGCTTGCGGCCAGAATGTGGCCGGGGCATGTCTCAACAGTAGAGGGGGAGAGAGGGAAGGGAGTGGGAGGGGAGGGGACAGGGGGGCTGCGTGACTGCATTGCGCCATCCCCGTCAATAGGTGGACCCCCTCCCGGCCCCATAAAGCCGCCGGAGTCGAAGCTGGCAGCCTCTGCTGTCTGAGATCGCAGCTGCCAGTAAGCGCGCTTGGAGCGGGGCTGCGGAGGACTGCTAGGGCTGCCCCCCCCCATGTGGCCCAAACCAAATGTATGTGCGGCCCAAACCAAATTTTCATCTTCTAATGTGGCCCAGGGAAGGTGAAAGGTTGGACACCCCTGCACTAAGCCATCCAGCAGTTCTTATTCTGGAGTTTTGCAGGCCCAAAATATTTTTCACTTTTTCAGTGATTTCTGGCACTCTTTCTGTAATACATGATTAATTTGTTTAAATAGTGCTCATTAGAAGTTTCAGTTTTGCTGCGATATGTTGCATAGGTAGGACTGAAAAGGACCCCAATGCATTTTCCCCTACAGGGTTATACTGTTTTATTTCAGAGAACTTCCTGGGTTATTGGGAATTTACACCCAAGTCCTGCTGATCAATGTCTAGTGGTAGAGGAGGAAACAATATATCACACCTAGAGAGCTCACAAAACTACTTCTTTGAACTACACCTCCCAGAATCCCTCAACCAGTATGGGCAGTGAGAACTGAAGTCCGGAACAGTGACTTTTCTAACTTCTCAACATTCTCTTAAAACATCTATAAGTGACGCAGCCTTGCACTGAGCATCACAATATCAGGATTAGGTTCATATTCTTCTGGCTTGTGACCCCAGTGACACACAGGTAAATTGATAAATGGTTTGATAAGTAGGTCTGGAAAGAGAATGAAAGTAATTAACCCCATTTTTTTCTTCAGGTGCGGAACACAAATCAGAAGGGAGACATGAATAAATAAGACAGTAGAAACACTCATCCAAACAGAATATGTTTACGGAATTTGCATAGACTAATGAGGTAAGCAGTTCATTGTGATGCCATTGAAGAGGCCTTGTCAACAATGTCAGCCACATCTGGCATACTGTCCACCATTAGTTTTCAAAGATTATGTCTCAGAATGTTTGCAAAATTAAAGAGGGAAAAACAAAACAAAATATTCTTAAACATCAGTCACTTCCCATGTATTTTTTTTATAAAACCTGGGACAAAAATATTCCAAATACATTGATTTTGTTTTATCTTTATAAAGCTTTTTATTCTTTTCAATAGGGATAGGGTTATGGGTTATGGGGAAGGGAATTTAGGGTTGGAGGGGTAGGTGTGGATAGAGAAAGGGTAACATTCCAGAGAGTGAGATAGTACATTTACATCAACTTGTACTCTTATACTACAAAGAGAGATAGAAAGAAATCAGCAGATTTTCCCAGTACTGTATTACTATAGTTACTAATCTGTCCATTACCTAATTGGACCTTCACATTCTTCTTTAATCTATGCTTTTCAAGCTCTCTTTTGAGTCCAATTATTATTATTTCTGTTTTCTCCAACTCCGTGACTTTCCATGTCTTTCCTGTCAGCTCTTCTAAGTCCAAGATATATGTTTTCTTCTATTATTTTCCATTTGATAACTCAACTGTAGAGATTACATGTATTATCATATATTTCGTTTCTCTAACTAGCATCTCAAGTCTACTAGCAAATCTGGTTTAAAGGTTGTCATGTGGAACATAATATCTTTCACACTTTCATACACCTACAGTATTTCCCTATATATCCACTAAGCATAATAAAGGTGTCCTCCTGTTTTTTACATTTCCCATGCAATTTTAAAGCATTTTTTTTGTAGAAACTTTGTTGGCATTGTGTACCATCAGTAACTCATATATTATCTATAAAGCATATTATCTATATTTTCTTTAGTAGTTACTGATTTTGGATATTAATATTCTTCTACCATTTTTACGCATTTTACCCTACAGTCTTTAACCACTTCATTTATTACTGTGATGTTTTATTCATTTAGTCCATCTTTATTGTCGTGATTTTCTTTCCTCCTCCTGGATCCTCTTGTCTTGTTCCTTTAGAGCTTCTCACTTGCTCTTCTGCTCTAGTCGAGTTTCTTTCTGCTTCAGATCCTGATAATCTGCTTGATTTCTCCTCTTCTCATTTCTCGTCTGTTTTTCCCCCTCTTTTTCTGCCCAGCCAGTTCTCCTTTGCCGTCCCCACCCCAGAATGAAGACACAAGACAAGAAATATGGGTTTAAACACAGACCACACTTTATTAAGCGTCATCAATGTTGCCATCCTTTGGCAAAGGAGGGTCCTGCCATAGTGCGGAATCAGGTTTAAGCAAAGAGGTCTCAAAGAACCCCTTAAGCAACAAAGGTGCAAGTCCCTGGCCCCATTTTTTTGTGCTCTTAAAGACAACAAGAACCTGGCTGGCCCCAATTTGACCACCCCAGACCTCAAGCCAGCTTCTCCTTGTTGACTGTTGGTCCGGGTGTGGCCCCAGCACATCTTTCCCCCCAAACACTGTAATTGCACAATCTCCAGCGCTGGGAGGTCAGATGAGCTATAGCTTACCTGATATTGCAATGGGACTCACCAAAAGCTTGTTATATCTGCACTACCCCTCAGGATATAACAAGTTTTTGGTGAGTCCCATTTGGTGTGACCGAATATTTGGAGTGACCGAATATCCACCTCCAACATGCCAGCGCACCTATTCCAGTGTGGGATAGGTGAAAAATGCCCACGTCCAAAAGCCAATCAGGATGCGGGTCAAACATTCCTATCCGGCCCCATAGGCAACCAGATAAACTCACACTAGACCAAGCCACATGGTAGTGACCAACCTCCCCCTCCTTGCGACCACCAATTCCCTTTAAAATACAATTATCCATAATTAAACAATTCAATCAAATTAATTAAGACCAAGATAAATGAAAAGAATTCAAAGTAATAAAACTAGAAAGCCAAACAGAACAAAATTGGTAACCCTCCCAATCTCACAAGCATTGTAACTCGCAGGCCTCGACAACATCACTCGCAACAGAGCCGAGTAGAGGAGCTCTATCCTTTACTTGTGCCAAGAAAGGAAGAGGGCGGAGAGAAGGGCAAACATCCTAGCATTTTCCCATCTCTCCTCCTACATCACTCTCGTAAGCTGAATGAAGTCTCACGCTATCTGAGGGGGGGGGGAGGCAAAGGTAAGCCATGCTGCTGAAGCTTAGCTCATCAGCAGCATGAGCATTGTTTTCATAAAAGCTTCTGCCTTCATTGTTGAGTTATTATAATAACTTTGTTCCTGGAATTCAAAGAAGAGTCCTTCAGGCACCAACCACTTACACATCATTGAGTTTGTTCTCAAGAAGGATGTCAGCTCCACACATTGTCTTCTTTTTTGTCGTCTTTTCTTTGCCATGGGATATATTTCAAGATCTTCATTTCTTTATCCTTTCTATTAAGTCCCTTGTATATTTCTTAGGACTTTATCTCAACAGATCTTTCTCATAAATTTAACATGAATTTCTCTGGGGAGATTTTTATTCCTGTTGTATGCTGTATTAATTCTTCAAGCTGCATCTATATTTTGTTGAACATCCTCTGGTCACATCTCCATGAGGGGTGCTAGATAAGCAGTAAGCATGTGCACTGTACAGTGGTGTCTTGCTAGACGCTTACCTCGCAAAACGGTTAATTCGCAAGACGATGGGTTTTTGCAATCGCTATAGCGCTTTGCAAAATGGTTTTCCCTATGGGCAATTTTCGCTAGATGATGTTTCGGTCCGTGCTTCGCAAGATGGTGTGTTTTTTTGTGGGTTTTTTGGACTGTTTTTTGCAAGACGACAATTTTGACAGCTGAGTCCATGCTTCTCAAAATGTTTTTTTAAGGGACAGTTTTTCACAAGATAGTGATTTTGACAGCTGGGTCCATGCTTCGCAAAACGGTTTCTCTATGGGTGATTTTTGCAAGCCGATAAATTTTTTCCCCATTGGAAAGCATTAAATGGATTTCAGTGCATTCCAATGGGGAACCGCATTTCACAAGACGATGTTTTCACAAGACAGCAATTTTCGCAGAACGAATTAACATTGTCTTGCGAGGCACCACTGTATTTTGTTTCATCATGGAGTACTTTTTTGGTCCCAGCCAATGTAACAAATTGGAACTATTTTTTTTTAAACGTGCTGTCAATTTGATTCTAACTTATCGGCTTTTCAAGGTATGTGAAATATTCAAGGAGTGTTTTACCATAGCAACTCTCTACTGAATTTCCATGCCTTGCAGGGATACAAACTCAAGTCTCGTAACACCTGGTCCAACTTTCCATCCACAGCCCAGTTTCCAAGAGTTAGCTATGTTTGTCTCTGCACTGACAACCTTCAAGGACAGAGGAACAAAGGACAACACATTGTACTATATTAAAGACTAACAAATTTGTTTCAATGTGAGCTTTCATAAATCAAAATCTACTTCCTTAGACACATAAAGAGTCCTCAGACTATGCCATGTGTGTCTCTACAGATTTCAATGGTGGTAGAGGTATGGACAAGAGAGAAGGTGACAAAGCATCATTAACACATTAACACAGGAAGAAGACTATTAATGTGTAATCAGTTTTATCCACGATATTACAATGGTCAGCCATAGTGCACAGAAACAGAACTGGCACACTGGTTATCAGTAGGTTGGCTACATGGATGAAGGGAGAGACACTGGAATTCTCAGCAGATTCAAGGAATATATAACCCCTAACCCTAACCCTTCTGCTCATTCTCAATACAATGGGATGCCCATGGAGTCAGAAAACAGTCCAGAAGAATTTTTAGGAATATTTTTTTTACAATCTGCCCTGAATAAACAGCATGATAAGTTGATATAATATGAATCACCAAATAAAAGTAAATTCAGCTTCCCAGAAAGGCCTCCTTGAAAAGCATACAAGTATTACCAAGAAGAAAGAGGACACTAGAAAGGAAAAGGCCCTGTGCTTTATGTCCAGCCACTATACTTCCATATTGCAGCTGTTTGGCAGATTGTGTATGGTGAGAGCATACATCTTGGTCCCGAGCTATGATATATATGGGGGCTCAGACAAAATAAAGCAATTCCTTTTTAAAAAGTCATTTTTTAAAAAATTTACTTACTAGTATGGAGAGGCTTTAAAGAATTTGCCACATCAGAGGGAGGGCAGGAAATATAATCCTTCCTCTGAACTGCATTTGCAGTATCAGCATATAACTAAGACAAAATAAAGCAATTCCTTTTTAAAAACATATTTTTTAAAAAATTTTACTTATTAGTATGGAGAGGCTTTAAAGAATTTGCCGCATCAGAGGGAGGGTAGGAAATATAATCCTTCCTCTGAACTGCAATTGCAGTATCAGCATATAACTCAGTCTGATTTGCTCTGTGTGGCATCATAACACCACTGCAGTTCCTACATGATACTTATTCAGCTCCATCATACATTCAGGAAGAAACTGTATCAAATGCTTCTCACTGGCACAAAAAACAGAACATACAAGAGACAGTGAATAAATGTAAAGTACGTAGTGAACATTTGTGGGCTTCATAAAACATTCTTGGCATCTAGATGTTCTCCCAGCAAGGAAATGTTTGTATGTGAACCTTTGATGCATCAGTGTATGAGAGACAGCTCCCAGCACTCTGTTGCATTCTAGCATGTGTATTAAAAAAGAACTCATGGAATGTAGATTCCATGAGGTCTCATCTCTAAAGGCTGCAACTTGCATCAGGAACAAAGCCTGTTCTTCAACAACATGGGAAGCACAACTGGTAAGCAATGGCATGAGTTTCTAGAATGTCACTCAAACACATTCAGTTACAAATTAAAGGTACATTTATAGCCTGTCAAATCTTCACTGAAAAATATTCATCTTTATAAAGAATTGGTATGGTATTGGGGGAGGTGACATTAGTTTTAGGTGCCTGGAGTTGGCCTTGTTGTTAGACAGACAGGGGCAAGTACTGGTCAGAAGCTATGGTAGCCTCCTTGCAAGAGAGAGAGGGAAGGAGGGAGCGATGGCCTCCCTGCTGTCCTCCAAACTAGCCTACTGCCTTGAGTTATGGTGGAGGACACTACATGATTTGTGGTGTTGACACAACATTCAACTGCCAGTTCAGTTCCATTCCGTACATGAAAGGGAAGGCACCATTCTATCCTGGGTGTCAGATAGCAAGAATATCTTAGATTGGCTGTAAACTAGAGATGTGGGAGAAAAGCAGGATAGCATTCTCAACAGTGAAGAATTTATTGATCCACAAAGAATAGCCCAAATGCATGATGCAAGGAAACGTATTTGCTGTGGTCATTAATAAATATGGAGCCATAATGACTGCAAAAAGTGCTTGCTGAACAAATCATGAAAAGCCTTTATGGAGTACAGGCATCAACCTTTCACTAACTTTATTTGTGCTTGAAACAGTTTCTAATCAGCAAGGATTAAGTGGAATCACAGAAAAGCTATGGCAAAAGTGGTTGTTTTATTGTATTTTTACCCTGGTAGCATTTCCACACCTTCAAAATTTAGCTTCATCCAACAACATTTACAATAATCCAGGACCTCATATTTACAATATGTACATACTATTCAAAGGTCAAAATGTCCAGATCATGTGCTCACATAAGCATTCTTTTTATGAAGGTTAGACCTTTTTTCTTTGAAGAAAGAAAGAAAGAGAGAGAGAAAGAGAGAAAGAAAGAGAGAGAGAGAAAGAAAGAAAGAAAGAAAGAAAGAAAGAAAGAAAGAAAGAAAGAAAGAAAGAAAGAATGAATGAATGAATGAATGAATGAATGAATGAATGAATGAATGAATGAATGAATGAATGAATAAATGAATTCTAATTTCCTTTCCATCAGGTAAATGTTCTTTTCAGAATTTCAGCCAGAGGGGCATCATGATGTGACTGTCCTGGGCAGCAGTTTTCCATCTAAATAGCACATAAGGGGAGGAAATAATGCTTTGGAAAATGGATTGAGTTTTCCATTGTGGGAAGTCATGAGCTCCTAGGAAATACAAAACCAAGAACAGTAGCAGCTTAAACTATTTGCGGAGAAACAGCGGCAGAAGTACCCCCTAGTCCACTGTTTTCAGATAGTACTTTCAATAAAAGATGGTCGCACCATCACCCCTGATTCTGTGGTGTTTTCTTCAGATGTACTGAGATCCTCTTGCTGAGGATAGATATCTTGAACCAACATGGTGTTTGTATTCTTCCACTCTCTGTACTTCCTTGCTGTTAGCTCAGGATCCGCCAGCAGCTGGTTGATCATGGCTAGGTCACGTTCTTTGCACTAGCAGGAAAACAGAAAAAGACATTGACAGAACTGGAGATTTGGACAGGTCACCACTAGAGGTCTCTCGTATCTACAGTTCTGCCCATTTCTCCTGCTCCTTCTGGCTTTCTTCCCATTTCTTTGTAGCTACTTTTTCAGCCGACCATCCTTCTGCTCCTCTGGCAATGGAGACTTTCCCAGCCAGAGGGAGAGTCACTTGCTTCACTACCAGTGCAACTGAGAGAATTTGGAAGCTGCAAGCTCAAAAAGTATTTTTGCCAAGTTCTGTATTAAATACAACCACAATTTCAGCAAGAGAAACATTTTTGAGTGATTATTAAATATTCAGTTAAGCAGAAACAGAGGTGTTTCACCCCATCAGGTGTGAAACCCTTACTCTCAACGCTTACCTTTAGTGTACTATTCAGAGCTCGGATTTTGTGAAGTTTCTCATTAACTGAGGGATTTTTGCTCCTTTTGATAAAAGATTTTCTCAGCTCCTTTTTAGTAGAAGGCCGTCGGTCCCCCATAGGAGAGAGACTTGCTTGTTCTAAGGATTTGTAAAGTTTCTCCATTTCATCTTCTGTGCATTTTGCACATTCTGTACAAAAGACAAAGACAGGATGTCTAATAGCTGATGAACTTCTAGTGTGACTGTATTTTGTGAATAAAGCATATCGATACCAGTGGATAAATCTGCTGCTCACAACACATACAATTTTTACATTCCTATAAATATACAACTTGGTTACTGAGAACTGGGTCACATGAAAGAAAAGCTTTACACAGTATATAAATCCTTGATCGTTTTATTCGTGTAACTGAGAATGAAAACTTTCTCTTTGCTGAAGGGGAGATTTTTGCCTCTTAAAAAACAAACAAAAAAAGGGATAAAAATTCAGTTGCTCCCAGCCAGGAAATCACCTTTGGGATGCACAGTCGGTGGGGGTGGGAAGGCAAAACCACTAGCTTCATAATCCCCGTGGGGACTAGTTAACTGCTAACTAATAATGATGGAACTTTATGCCTTCTGTATAGCAAAGCAACAGAATTTCAGCCTTTGTGTGGTTTTGTGAGGTTTTCTTTTCTCATTTCGGTGCTTGCTTATGAAAAACTTATGGACTTTGGGTTTTTTTGAGGGGGGGAATATTTGACACAAAACACCTTGTATTTTACACAAAAAGCCTTGCTTTTCATGCAAAATGCAAATTTAGTGAACAAAAAGCAGAAGTGTCTGGGAAGAGGACATTTTTAGAAAAAGTAATCATTTTATTCTGTGCTGGTCTTAGGAAGGGGATTTGTCCATGAAAGTTCTCATTAAAATACAGTGGGGTCTTGACTTGAGAACTTAATCCGTATTGGAAGGCGGTTCTCAAGTCAAAAAGTATGTAAATCAAGTCTCCATTGACCTACAGTGCATTGAAAACCGATTAATCCCGTAACAGGCCGTTTTTGTTCCATTTTGTTTTTTTTCTGGTCTGTAAGTCAAATCTCAGTCTGCAAGTCAAACCTAAATTTTGCGGCCAGAGAAGTCTGTAACTCAAAAAGTCTGTAAGTCAAGCCATCTGTAAGTCAAGGGTCCACTGTATAGCAGTCAGTCTTTGAGGTACAACAATGTTTTGGTCTTCTGTTGTTTTTGCCTGATATGCTTGGTAATGCTGTTGCTTCCCCGCCCCACCAAAGTTCTGGTCTTCCTGTGTTGTGCAGCAGTGAAATATCTGCAGCGGCTGACCATTTGTTGACAGGTGTACTGACGTGTCAGAACATTTCTCAACAAGGAAAATAATAGATGCAAGTATTCATTGTAAGTTAACACATGCATATGTACATATTCCGTTGGGGTGGTTCTTTTGTATTTCATTGACTTCCACCTCCATCTGTCAGTGGGAGTCCCCCCCAAACCAAATTATGGGAATGCAAGCCCCAAAGCAACAGGAGGTAGCATCACCCCTTTACCTCTATTTAGTTACCTGCCGTTCATCCGGTATATGGAGATAAAACCACCCCACTGAGCTTGGGGAGTAGCAAGGGTTGCAAGGGTTCTTTGGAGGCAGCCTCTGTCAGAACTCACTTGCTCAGGCACCCTTAAAAGTCAAGGAATCTCACAATTCCCAGAGCTTTTCTCTCCACATATGGGAGAAACAGCTGGAAATACAAATATTTTTGTGGCTCAGGGGTTCCTGCCAACTTATGAGACTGGAAATCCATTTAATACTTTCATCCCTATAAACTATTCCACCACATGGAGTGGCATTTTAATATTGGATGCCTCCATGGCAGCATTGGTTGGTTGGTGGTGACTCCTCTAAGAAACCCTTACCACTGAAATGACTGCCATTGTACCCTTGTAAAGAACACATTTATAATAAAGTTCTCTGTAGCATTCTTCTAGGTACTTGTGTAACTAAACAGCTGATTAAAGGGAGAGGAGCTTGTTCTTCAGGCACCAGCTGAAGAAAACAAAGACATATGGGTTTAGAATGATATGACAAGTGCTAGTCCATAAAAATAGCCATCCTTGGGTATTTTTACAGAATGGTATCTGTTCTTATTGCATCGTAGTTCTTTTTATTTTCTTTATTTGTTAATGCCTGTGCAATACTAATTTGTATCTGAATGCGTCTATTTATTCATTTCAAGTTTATAAACATCCCACCAATTGTACTTGGATGGGAGCTAAATATAGCTTATTGGTGTAACACAAATTTGTAAACAACTATAGGAAAGAAGATTCTTGGGACCAATGGGTTCCTTTAGCATTCCCCGTGCAAACCAATGCCTCAATAAATATGTTTCAGTTAGGTTATAGTAATAATACTTTCTCCTTTTTATAGAAAGGGCATAGAGTTAGTTAACAGAGACAACAGGAGCAGAGGAAGATGTCTTACGTCAAGTAAAACTATTAGTCCATCTAAGCCAGTGTCCTTGACACTGGATCATTGCTGGGTAATAGGTGAAGTAGACCTATATAGCATGATGATGCCAACTCATGACAAATATGTCTATTCTAAGGGCAGCAAAATGGGCTGTGAACTATAGGACTCAATATCAGAACAAGACCTATTTTCATCTTACAATGAGAGCTTTTATCACCTTTAAGCATCTCACCAAGAACATCAATTAAAGATCAGAGGAAGGAAGTGGAACTTAAACAATACCACTGGTCTTCACAGTGCCCTGAAGGTGTTAACTTTCACAAAGATCTTCACACATATATTTCACAAGGATCCTTCAGACCTACTACACTGAACAAGACAGAATTTATTAGCAAATGTGACAGGCAATACAAAACAGGTTCCCTTCCACTAAGAGCATTTCATCATTGATCACACTGTAGATTTGTCTTAAAATAGAAATGACTGCTTTGGAAATCCACCACCACCAGCAGCAGCACCCTGTCCACTGACACAGAGAAACAACTGTAGGTAAATCCAGTTACCAAACATGAGGATTTCCCAGGGACAGTTCACATGGGTATCATATTTCACACAATTAAAATGTATGACCTAGAAACGCTGCTGCCCTATCATGTTTGGGTTTAGTGATGTTAGAAAAATTGGGAGTGAGAATCACCATGATAGTTTCCCACTGTACTTAGATATCTCTCCCCATTTACAAAGGATAAGAAAACATATCTCCTGAAAGAAGGATGTGTATATAAATGTGCCTACAGTCACTGACTGCAATAGATGCATAAATACCACAGGAAGAAGGATGTCATCACTGTTGGAAGAAGGAACAACGTCTAATAGTTGCAGTGTTTCGTTTTTTACAACTTCTCTTTTTTGCCCCCTGCTATAAACAGGCATGTTTACTCTGACAAGTGCCAAGAAGAAATAAAAGGGGTAGGAATTGGTCACCCCTTGTGTCTTTCTGCCCCTTAAGTTAGAAAAGAAGCCTCTAGGCTCCAGTCACGTACTGATAACACTTATAGTCTTGACTCAAATACAGGGAGTTCCATTCATTTTCCACATCTGCTTTTTTTAAAAAAATCAAGCCAAACAGCAATCAAGGCCGATTGTAACAAAGGACAGGCAGGCAGCCAGGCAGACAATATTTAGCCCTTCTCCCTGTAGTCACCTCCCAGCGAAAATCACTCTGCTGATTCCTTCACAGCAGGGAGGCCCATGGTGTTACTTCAGATATTTTTTTTTTTGGACCACAAATGAGAAATCTGAAACAAACGACCCGACAGAGGATTTCTGTTTCATGAAAAACAAGAGGACCAGTGCATAAGAAACACGAAAGTGAAATAGACAATTGCCTAAAGAATCCAAAAATGAAACAAATAGAAACATTTTCCATCTTGTGCATCCCTACTTTTTAAAAAAAGCATTTAAAGAAATCAGCTCAGGGAACAATATTTAAGGTGAACAATGACGATTCCAAATGGATCCATCATTTACAGGGAGAATCCACATGGAGATTGCGACTTATCTCTTCCTCCCAAAAGACAGTTCAGTGCCCTACTTCTCAGGCTTGTTTGATGGGGACATGAGGGAAGGCCTTCTCTGTGGCCTCTCCCTTGGGAATTAAGGTTAGCCCCTCCTTTTAATCCTTCCGTCAATTGCTGAAGACACACCTGTTCAGGCAGGCTTTTAATAACCATGACTGGATGCTGCCTTTTTGCTGTTCTACATTTACTTCTTAAAGTTTTTAATGTTTTCAATTACTTAATAGATTTTTATTTTATTTATATATTAGATTTATATACTGCCCGTCTAGAACGGGTCTACTCTGGGTGGTTTACATATAATATAAAAAATAAACTAAGATAAAATCCAGATTAAGTCAAGATGGGAAAGGAAAAAGAAAAATGACAAAAAAGAAGAGGAAGAAGGAGAGAAAAGAAAAAGAAGAAAAGGGGAGATAGTCTAGGTAATGGCTGTAGGGAAGGCCTGCCTATATAGTCATGTCTTCAAGTTATTTTTGGCTTTTCAGAGTCACTGCAGCAAATCAACTCATATCCTTCAACTTAACTGTCACAAAATTTAAGAAGAGGAAGCAAGTCAAGTTGATCTATCACCAGACTGTAAGATGCTATGGCTAAAGTTTCCATGCAGAGTCCACGTTAAGGATTTGTTTAGAGATATTCTAGCTTCTACGTGGATGAAGCCCTACATAGAAATGTCACCTGGCCTGGCACAGAATACTGGAAAGCACCAGATTATAGCAACTACATCCACAAGTTTTGCATTTAGGAATTTGCTAGCTTTTCATGCAGATATCAACAGGATTCACCTGTACAGAGGAAATACCATTGGAGGTGACACCGCTGCATTGATTAATGTTGCACAATGCGGGATGTATTAAATAATAGAGTTAAACATATCTTGAACAATAACTCTACCCCTTAACACTTTTAGACTGCAACTGGCAAACTCATTTGACAAGTAAATTTGGGGTCATCAGGACGCTTCCTCAATTTAGCCTCTAAATAATGTTCTAATTGGCTGGTTAGATCACTCACATCAGCAGTGCAGCTGACCTCACTGATGGACAAAACTCTCTCTTAACATCTCTCCTAAAGAACACATTTCTGTCGGTCTCTGACTCCCATAAATGTATCAGGCTTCAGCCTCAATCACTGTCTTTCTGATAGGAAAGGATTACGATCATTTACTTTGAAATCCAGGATACTAACCTAGTCTAAACCAGTCTTTTAAAGCTGATCTTTAAAATTATTTCTCATTTATTTTTAAAGGATGTTGGCTTTTGAAATTGGTTCCCTTCAAAAATGTTTGACTCATCACCTTGGGAGCCTTCAAGAATAGAAAAGAGAAAAAGAAATAATTTTAATAAAATGATAAAAAGCAAAATAAATAATAAGCAAAATAATTAAAAACATTATTTTATTAATTTTTATTATTTTATTAAAATAATTTATTGATGTTTTGGAAAATTTGGAATTTGATTTTCAGTTGTTGTTTTTCATTGTCCTCCCCCTCCATCTGCAACAAAATGTGCAGGCATTTGGCAGCATCGTTTTGGAATTTCTCGCCAACACTCTCCCCATGTTCAAGAGTGTATAGCTGCTAAGCTGCTTCTTGCACTCTTAGGATATTTCACAAGGTATTAAGTTTGATGGATATTCAATGTGGTATAGTAGACAAAGTGATGGACTAGAACTCAGGAGGCTTTGTTTTGAAACCCAGGCTCTGCCATGGAAACTCACTCTGTGGGTCTGAGTGTAACTAGTAAAGCCACTCCTTAAATATCTCACTTAACTTGAAAGCCTATTAGAGTTGCTATAAGTCAGCTCCAACTTGACGGCACATAACAAGTCAGCATAGAGAAGGATATGGACCTTCCTTTTTCCAAAGCTGGCTTAGAACAGGGGTCCTTGGAGTTTGTCCAACTGCTTAGACATGCTCTAAGCAGTTAAAGAAACTAGAGTATGCCAGCAGGAGAGCCTAGAAACAGTTACTTTTTGGACCATGGCCATTTTGGCTGGGGGACCCCATAAGTGACAGCCCCAAAAAAAGAACTTCTCCCAAGCTCTCATAAGGAAGTTCAACCTGACCGGTGGCAATCTACCATGATTCTTTGGGGAAAATTCTTGAAAACAGGGGAGCACCCCAGGAAGGAAAGTCCTGTCCTAAATCTGTAAAAGTGCATTTTACTGGATAGTACCTTCCAAGTGTATCTGCACCTGAAAATTGTGTATTTTACATGTTTTATATCAAAATTAATGAATTGTTTTCTGATTGTTCTTCACATATACACATAGGTTACAGGTGCTGGACAGTTTTTCATATCATCACATTTGCTCATACGGGTGAGGAAACAGAAAGGAAACATGAGAGAACATTCACCTTATGTTGGTGGAACAATGTACAGCCAGCAAATCTCCTGCATGACTCACCTTTTGGTGGAATCTTTGAAGCCATTTTCCCAGGGACAGACAGGCTGTCCTTACTGTTAGCTAATGAAGCTGTATTTTCATTCCAAGAGATCCGAAAGCTACCCTCAGGTTTGGCTGCACCATCCTCCTTTGTCCCATTACTGTCTATCCCCTGGTGATCCACATCTTCAGAGTCACCAGAGGCAGCTGAAGGTGCAATGGCCAGTTCTTCCCCAGTGGAAGAGGCATTAACAAAGTCAAGCCATGATTGTCTTTCTGGATGCAGTACTTTGGACAATGAGGAAGAAGAAGATCCCTGGGTTTTCATCATTGTGCTTTCTGGTGAGGACAAAGAACATGATACTTCACTTGATACATGCGACGTCAAGGAAGGCTCTTGCTGATCCTGTTTTCCAGAACAAATAAGGCAGGAGGGAAAAGATCAAGTCATATGCTACTGATAGAATGCACCAGAGAAGGGCAAAGGTCAGGACATTCACAGTTACAGTGGTGCCTCGCTTAATGAACGCTCCGTTTAACGAAGAATCCACATAGTGATTTGTTTTTTGCGATCGCATTGGGATATTTTTAATGAGAAAAAATCACTTTGCGATGATCGCTAAGCGTTTCGCTTACCAATTTTTGCATAGCGATGTTTTAAAAAACAGCTCATCGGTGGTTCCAAAATGGCTGCCGGGGAAAAAAATGGCCACCCGCAGTGTTTTTACGCCCTTTTCTCGGATATCGGGCAGCGAAAATGGCAGCCTCATGGAGGATTTCCGCATAACAGTGAGTTTTTTGCCCATAGGAACGCATTAAATGTGTTTTAATGCGTTCCTATCGGCTTTTTTGCCCCGCATAGCAACGAATCCACATAGCGACGATTTTCTTGGAACAGATTATCATGGCTATGCAGGGCACCACTGTATTCTGCTTATCTTGGATGCTGCATAGAATTCAAGGCCACTATACAATATATCAATTGGTGGTTAGCCACTTTTGTGAAGACATTCTCCAAGGGATCAATTTTGTCAAAAGATGGGAAAACGTTTGGACTACAATATTCCAGAATATCCCAGTTAAAAGCTGAAAATGATCCATAAACCTACAAAGATCACTGCAGTTAAACTCTGAGTCTGGGTTCCTTTCCAGGTACAGTACATGCTTAAGAATATATCATATACCTATTGCTCACAAACCAAATACTGCACATGGAAACAGGACTGTGACATAGTAGAATTCTTAAAACACTTAACCAATAGGGGGAGCTTAAGAGACAGAAGTTCTAGCAATGGCATGCTTTGGCCAGAAGTCTCCCTATCACTTCAAAGCAATGACCAAAAATCCTTCTAGCTCAAGATCAGACTTAAGGCTATTTCATGTAGGCTCAAGTTTGACCACGTCTGGAAACTAGAAGCTATAGCTGACACCTCAATAGAGATCTTTGTTATTAAAAGTTATGTTGGAGAACAAACAATCAATTCACTGAAAGATCCTTCTAATAATATGGCTCAGGCCTGGATGCTTCATGAAATAGATGATCTTTTCTAGTACCATGCAATCCGTCCTCTCCCCACTGTCCTAGTATTAATCATCAGCCCTTGTATATACAGTATAAAGACTATTTTGAACCCTTACACCATGCTGGGCTTTTCAATGAACTAAGCACTCCTATGTTCACATAATGCTTCTTGGAGGTCATGTATGTTCATTATTCCCCCTCTTTGAAGGATCTTGTGCCCCCCAAAATCTGCTCTGAGGGTTCATGGGAATCTTCATAATTATTTTGCACTGGTATACGGCATGCAAGGGAAACCAGCAAAAAGCCATCCACCCTACAACCAGGTTTCCTTTCAGCAGGATATCCTGTGGATGGCATTCTCTTCATTTTAATGTTATATAAACACACATACAGCCATTAAAATAAGATTATACCAATACAGCAAAGAGTATAATTATTCTCCATCACAGGATTTAATGAGGATGGAGGGAGCAGTGATTACTTTATCTTGCTGAAACAGAAGGGGAAATTTAGGAGAGGATATTGGTAGCTGCATGACCCATTGTCCAAAAAAATATGAAATCAAATTTAGCATTAGCAAAGCCTGATAGAACTGCCAATCTTACAAGCCACTGAATCCCCTCTTATATCTCAGTGGTGAGTCATTTAAGGGCAGAATGCAGCCTCTGAGAGAAAACTGGGATAATTCTAGATTCCTGCAGAGGGATCACTATTCTGATGCACTGAATGTCTGAAACAACAGAAAATATTTTGATTCAAAGTTTACAATGAACCAAGCAAAAAGACAGTCTTCACTGCTAACATGCTGAGGGTGCCAAGACAGTCAAAGACATATACTGGGACCATGAAAAGCCAATCTGGCTTTGGTAAACCTGCCACCTTTCATACAAAAGTACCCTATGGGTGGAACGGTGAGGATTCTAGGCAGAATCCATCTGTAAAATGCTATGAGAGGCTTATTCTGCAAACCAGGCGTGGAAAACCTTTGGCCCTCTAAATATTGAATCCCAGAAGACCCTTCCAGAGTGGCTGATAGTGAAGAATTATGGGAATTGGAATCCAAAATACTTGAAATAGCAGAAGTTCTCTGCCCTTGCTCTTAACTCTGAGTAAATAAGCCTGCCTGGAAAAGTCTTTGCAAGCTCTTTGCACTGATTAGCACTGTTTGCTTATACTGTAGTATCTCAAATTACAGCCATGTTAAAATAAATAGAGATCCAATAAGATGGAAGAGGTAGAAGACCAGAGAGCACCAGATTCAAATCCCCACTCAGCATTACACTGAGGATTTTGGAACAGTTTTTCCCTCTTTCCTATCTCACAGGGTTGTTGTGAAGAGAAAATTGCAAGGAAAGAGAACCACATGTCATTGTGAAACTCCGAGAAGGAAGGCAGGACTTAAATGTAGTAAGGAAATAGTGAAGATGTATTTTACATGTATTTTACACGTATTTATATGTATATAAATATATATGACTGGTCTTATGTCCCTCTGCTTTAAAAAAAAGTTACAGCTCAGTACTTCAGATGGCTTCCAAGACAGGGATCTTATTAAGCGGATAGAGGGACATTTATACAAGCCATTTAGCACGTGGAAGCAAGCTAATTCCTACAATACATACCAAGTGGCATGGCAGCAGCTGGTCTGAATAAGGAGGGGGTGGTGTTTCCACATTTATTTCTAGATCTTCATGTTCGCTCTCACTATAGCACTCTGAAACAAGAATGTATGTTGGACACTCCACTCAAAGTGTTGTGAAAAAAGCACACTTTTCCCAAGTAAGTTGAACAGAAAGGAAAATTTATAGGCTTTGGTCTAGTCATGCATATAGTGTGAACTTGATGTAACGCTAAGAATCTTCTGACTTTTCTTTTTCTCTTCTCCCTTCTCACAGCATTACCAACATTTTAAAACTAGTTTTTGAACTCTTCCCTAAGTTACTGCTTAAAAATACATTGAGCCAACATACCTAAAACAAGATCATCCATATGTAGGGGCAGATGCTTAACAGATATCTAGAACGCCTACAGTTAAATTGTCACATTTTTGTGTCTGATTCCATGAAAAATAAGGAGAGTTTTAAGATTTAGCAAATGGTGTCACCATTTTCTGCTCATACCCATGCTATAGCCTGCGGGCCTAATCTGGTCCACAGAGTTCTCCATCTGGTGTTTGGAGGTGCTTTGGAAAACATCTTTGGTCCCCCAAGCCCTGCCCCCTCTTGACTAACAGAGCTTGGGGGGACCATTGATCAGAGATCACAGTGAAGGAAATGGTCGTGCCCCTGATATCATCCAGTCTGTGGAAAGTTGCAGGAGAGAATCTGCCTGGTTGTCTTCTCCCACCCCTTCACCACAGAAGTCAGCAATCAAAAATTAACAAATGCTTATAAAAATATTTGCTCATGACTAGCAATATAAATAGTCAGCAAGAAGATCATTGATGTATGGACTAATGCATTCATTCTACCAGCCAAAGGACCTATCTTATATATTCCAATTCAGTAAAAAATAAATACATTAAAACATATTTTATTAATGTGCTCATGTAATTATGTATTATGTATAATCTAAATAAAGATTGCTTTTTCTTAACCATTTATGCCACATCAGTACTCAGAAAACCAGACCTATAATGTTAACCGCATCCACTTCCATTTTCTATTCTATGTATGTTTGGCTTCCTCTTTCCACTGACTTTCTCCAGACTAGCTTCGTTCCTCCTTACTTCCTCCTTTACTATGTCATGCTGAAGTTAGCCATTTCCTTCCATCTTGCTTTGTTAGCAGACAACTGGTGTGGTGGCAGACACATGCCACCAAAATACAGGACCATTGAAACTTATGGGGACAGAAGATACCAAAGCCATGGAAGCAGCACATGTATTGAAGAGAGAGGGTTAATATCATCCTTACCAAATTACAAAATTAAGCCCCATTTGACCCTTTAGGTCAAATGAAAGTAATTAACTACACAAGCATATTATACATTACATGTTCAGCATAAACAGGTCAAATCACCTTCATTTCTTCAGTTCAGTTGCATCCCATTATGAAAACCTTTCCATATATGAGTGGGAAATCTGTGGCCATCCACATCTTGTCAGACTATTACTCCCATCAACCTGATCATTGACAATGCTGCCTAGGGTTGCTGGGAGTTGGAGTCTAACAATGTCTACGGCCCATGATTTCCCTTGCTCTGTATTTCTAACCAACCCTATCATCAAAGCAAGCTGTTAGAACATTTATTGAACATTTTAATCACGCACATGCCATTTCCACATTTATGTGTTCTTGCTAAAAATTGCACACATTTTTGCATAATTTTAATGATTCTTTCACAAAATACTTATTTTTAATTACCCTATTTTTTATTTTATTTTATTACCCTAAAATACGCATTTCTTCAAAATCCTAAAATGCTGTTTTAATGTATATTCATATATTAAATATATATTATATATATTTAATGTATACAGTCATGCCCCGCTTAACGATTACCCTGCATTACAACGAATCTGCTTTACAACAATGTTTTTGCGATCGCAATTGCGATCGTAAAATGATGGTCTAAATGGGGGAATTTCGCTTAGCGATGATCGGTTCCCTGCTTTGGGAACCGATTTTCACTTTACGACGATCAAAAACAGCTGATCGTCAGGTGTTCAAAATGGCCACTGGGTGCTCAAAATGGCTCCCTGCTGTGCTTAGGGACGGATTCCTCACTATACAGGCACTGAAAATGGCCGCTGTATGGAGGATCTTCGCTAGACGGTGAGTTTTTAGCCCATTGGAACGCATTGAATGGTTTTCAATGTGTTTCAATGGGGTTTTTTAAATTTAGCTTTACAATGTTTTCGCTTAACAGCGATTTTCCTGGAACAGATTATCGATATATATAATATATTTTTTACTGCAGGTTTGAATTTAAATTGCTATCATAAAATATAAAGATATCTAAGAACTTTAGAATAATAGCATTCCTAGTCCCTATTCATTTGGGAAGCACAAATATAATTGGTTCATTTAATATGAAGACTAAATTAAATCCTTTTATTATTCATATCTGCAGTAAAGATACGTGTTTGAAAACTCATTGCAACATTGCTATACATTCATATCTATTAGCAAAATCAAATCATATCTTTCCCAAACTAGACAGCCTCCCATTCTAGTCAATCATGCTAGTTCTTAGTATATTGGACACATTGAACATTTGCTGCATTCTATTAATAGTCCTTGGGTAACAAGCAATAGATAGATCCCACCCCAAAAATTAATAGTCGAGCATACCTTCTTCATTCCTTTTACTGGCTTCTCCATCAACAACAGCCAGCCCTAGTTTGTTTAGCCACCTGAAATTCAAAAGAACGAATGCATATTTGTATGAAATGGAATATCCAAGCTATGTTAAAGAACATGGCTACATAAAAATAAAATTATAATCATGTATCTACATAATCTTAGAGTGAAAATTTAGCTAATCCTGTACTAAACTGAATCAAACCTAAGAGCCAAGTATGATAACTATAATGTGTATTAGGAATAGTCACCTCAGTGAGAATGGTAGAATACATCTGCTGGTACCTTTACTCACTGTTACACATTGTGAGTTTCAGCACGAGCTATCTAGCATGGGGCCTCCTGATTTTTAACATTTAATTCAATCTGTCCTTTGCCCTTCACGCATATTAGGCATGCCGCTGTCAGCTCTTGGCACAGCAAAAGCAGGCATCTTTCCAGCAGGTGAATCTTTCATAGCCAAAGATTATGGATTATGACAGTTCAGAATCAGAGATGCAGGTGACTTCTGACTTGTGGGGGTCCTGAGGCAGGATGAGAGATGCTTTCCCAGTGAGCAGGTTGTGGGGTAAAGTAAGGCTATTCCATCAAGAACTGTCCCTTCAAGGCACCAGAAAATTGGAGCTAGGGGCTCAGGACAAGTCGGCACTCTTTTTGCAGTGCCACTGTTGTGAAGAGGAAGAGAAGACTGCAGAGAAATTCAAACATCACAAATCTTATGGGCTCTGTGGGACTTCCAAAGCAGAATACTATGCCCTGGTACAGAACCGATCATATTAATGATGCAAGAACAGAATACAGTACAGGGTAATCTTCTTAACCAGCCCCTTAACACTGTGGTAAAAGCACTACTTCTCCACCAGTGCCCAGCCACTGAGAAGCAGTAAGGCGATCCCAAGGCAAAAAGGTTCAATCTCTATTCTCTCCAACCTTGCATCGCTCTTTAGGCTGAATAGGACAAACAGAGGATGCTGCTTTGTGCTGAGTCAAAACTTGGGTCCACCTAGCTCAGTAGTGCCAACACTGACCGGCAACCACTCTCCAAGACTTCAAATAAAATTCCTGCTAGTTCCTCATGGTCTTCCATCCAAGTATTGCATAGTCCTGATCCTGCTTAACTTCCTAAACTAGATAAGGCTTCAGGTGCTCAGGGTGATATGGTGGCAATCAAATAGGTGTAAACTGTTTAGTCAACAGGAGCACCTATTTTCTGTGTATGTCTGTGCTTGGAGGAGGAATGGCAGAAAGAGATAAAAAATCCTGGTCCAAGCCACTCTAATTTGGCTCCACCTACTCTGATATTTTGTCCTGCCTACCAATGGCATACAGCCCTGAGAAGGTTATCTGGGAAGGAATATGACCCTCTGGCTTAAGGATGCCTCCTCGCTCAGCAAAAAAAAGAATCGGGCAACACTCATCAAAACAACCAATAGATATGGCTCTACCCTGGTAATAGAAGGTAGGCTGGAGTATTTGTTTTTTACTTACATCTTCATCTCCTCTGCATTTTCAGCAGCAAAATAAAGTGTCTTGATGTGTGGGTGGATGATCTTCATGGCACTTCAAAAAAAGAAAAAGAAATATATATATGCATATATATGAACAAGATGTATGTGAGCATGGGTGCAGGTTTTGAAAACACGGTAAGATAGTTTGCCTAAAGCTTTAAAATTTCAGAATAAAAATCCCACATAAACATTCAAGAACTAAGAACAGGATGGATAAATTATTCTCCTTTCCACATTAGTGGGAGGCAAATTCTATGTTTGCCAAAACCCTGGATGCGTTTTTCAGTGTCTAAAGGAGTATGATGTCAGTGGCTGGTGGAAATTTTGAAAAAAAATGTATTTATTTTGTCACCAAAGGAATTGGGGAGGCCAATGATTAAAGGTACCATGGTCCAGGAAAGGTTTGGAATGAACCATATTGCCTTTTCCATGCATCTCTACAGGAAAGTGGGCAATGGGTTTCATAGAGAAAGGGAATATACATTTCTGAATTAAAATAATTTGTTTGCATTAAACTAAAAAAATCACATATTCGTTTAGAGAAGGGTAAAGCTTGGAAAAGTTGTGTTTTGACTACAACTCCCAGAATCCCCCAGCCAGCATGAGGACTATGATCCAAAAATCACCTATGTGATCAAAAAAAAAAGTTTTCTAGGCTCTGGACAAGAGAGGTAGAAGGTCTTTTAACTCTGTGATATGTCAGTGCAGAGTGCCATCCTTTCCCCCTTGAAAACATAGGAGCAAATCAAGATGACTGTTACATTTGCATGGATTTATAAATGGAGTTTAAGTGGAAATAACCCCCAACCTCACTGTTTCTAATGTATTCTATCATGCAAAACTTGATAATACAAATAACAAGTCTATAGAAGCTGAAAGGCTGTTAGTATTATAGCAATATGATTTTCTTCAAATTTTGTTACTTGGTGATTAGACTTGTAAATGAAATCCTTGTTTACCTCCCAATGACCAATCACAGAATAAAACAAGCTAATTTGCAAGCTACAGGAGGTAAGAAAAGCTTGTGCTATGATAAAGAGGCATAGTGCAATATTTTCAGGGCTTCATGCTTCTAACAACATACTATTGGCATCCTCTAGTTTGACCCTTGGTTTGATGTGCAGACTATGTTTCATTAAAGTGGGCAAATACTGGTCTTGTTGTCTGCTAGAGGGTTTTGCTTTTATGTAGAGGAATTTGGATGCTGGCCTAGATAATAGACTCTTGGTGTGGTTCCAAAATTTGGAAAAGTTGCTTTTCTTGACTACAGCCCTAAAACGTGGAATATAGTACCCCAAAGAAACTTTACCAGGCTCTGCATCCAGCAATGCTCAATTCTAGTATACTTATTGTGGCTTGTACTGTGCCCAAAAGTGTCTCTGTACTATATGGTTATAGCAGTTTGATTCCACTTTCCCTATCAAGGCTGCATCCTATGGATTCCTGGGACCTGTAGTTTGGTGAAGCACTTGGGATTTTCTGCTTTAGTTCAGGGGGGTGCACTACACTTCTGTAGTAGAGAATTCCAAGTACCTCATCAAACTACAAATTCCAGCATTCCATAGAATGGAGCCATGGCAATTAAAGCACAATCAAACTGTTGTAACTCCATACGGTGGATACCTCCATTGCTCCAGATAGACTGATATACTTACTGTTTTTTCTTGCATTCCGTTGCTTTCTCTATAGTGAAGTTTGGAAGGCTGAGGAATCCATCAGCTTTCTCTGCCTGGGAAAACATTAAAGCCATCACATTAGGACATGCCTCATTATTTACCAAAATGGACACTCAAAAGACAACGAAGGGCATGTAGCTTTTCATATTGTGAAAAAAAAATGTTTAGATTGCTGGAAACTACACAACAATATGAGGAGTCCTTCTTTCCATCATTCTTAAGTGCATATATGCTAGGTTTGCACAAGATGTTTTGCTGCCTGAAGCAGAGTGAAGGCAAGGTGTTTGTCACTCAAAGTCATCAATTTATTTTCACCCATGAAGCAGAACATTCTGTAAGTACCTCTTTTGCTCCTGGCAGTAAAAACACAACAGTAAATGAAAGAAGTAACTGTTTGCTGCCCCCTTATCCATTCAGAATCTACTGTTCAAGACAGTTGCCTCACTTTGCCTAATGTTAGGTCCAGGCCAGCATATGTGGGGAAGCAGGTAGGCATTTGTGAGAAATTGGGCGGGGAGTTAGCTTCATTCCCACACATCAGTATTTAGCATCCTGAATCATCTGATTGCACAAGATTTACACACTTCATTGGATTCTAAACAACTGCAAAACAGCCAGGACAAACACACACACACACACACACACACACACACACAAAATCCCAAGAAAAACAAGAAACACAAGGTGTGTGGTGCATTTTGGGTTTTAAAGCTTCAAAACGTCTTCACACCCAAATAAAATATCTTAAAAGTATTCATTTATTTAAAGCTTCTTTATACAGTTCTTCAGTCAAAAATATTCCCAGTCTGATTTCTGATTCCCTAAAAAACAAGATTTTATCAGTCTTAAAATGAAATAAAATGACAGAAGAGCAAAAGGTAAACATGAGGAAAAGGAAATATAACACACCTCCACAGCAATAGGTGCAGAATTTACTTCTGAGTAGCACAGATGACTGTATTAGCCAAAAAGCAGGGACATTTCCATTTATGTGTGCCTCCATTCACAGCTAAAAAGGAACCATGTTTTTCGGTAGATAGAATCCTGCTTGCATTGCTCCACTCATGTAAGGCTGTCATTCTTATTTTTAGTTTCCCATGTCCCCCACCTCAGCTGAAGTTCTGAGGCTCCCAAAGAATCTCTTGTGATCTGCAGAAGCCCTTAGAGTCCTCAGAATGGGGAGGAAACCTTTAATGCCTGACAACTGCTGCCGGTGGGACAATTTCAGCATAACTAAATATTTATAACTGAATATGCTAAAAATTTAGCATAACTAAATATTTTGGATTATGTTCCTCAGTTCTATAAATGTTGCATCCTTCTATGCATGTTTATTGCTCAGAAATACATTATTCAAAATGAAAATGCTGGTTTAAGTAGGTCTCTCTGGACTAAGTATCAAGTGGTAGTTTTGCTTCAGTGTGAGGATGAGGAATGTGTGGCCCTGCAGATGTTGCTGGACTACAATCCCCATGATCCCTCACCATTAGCTATACTGGTTGGGATTAATAAGAGATGGAGTCCAACAACATTGCAGGGGGCCACACCTTCTGCCCCAGTGTTTCTGCAACCTAGTGTTTCCACAAAATACAGCATGATGTGTTTTGCCAACCTCTACTCTCCATTTAAGACCTCTCCATCTCACCATCCAAAAACTCTCACTGAAGCATCTGGAACAACCTGGAGAAAGGGATGGATGGTTGCATTTAGTTGTGGAGTTGGAAAGAAGGAACCAGTGAATGTTTTCACAAGGCAACACAACTACTATCCTCATTCATGATATATTTCATGATTTGTATGTTCTTATTTGATTTTATGTTTAAAAATTAATCTTCTCCTTTTCTCTTCCTCCACAGTCCATGTTGTGGTCGGGCAAATACATGAGAGGGCAAAATGTAGGTTGAACTTACTGTCGAAAAGGCCTAATTAATATTTGTTTTCCCTCAAAGCTCAGCAGTAGACTAGAAAATGCAGCATCCTAACCTGTGGTTGCTATGTTACATCTCTCTGCTTTTCTGAGTAACTCAGATTTTGTTCATAGATGAACAGAATTCTTGCTTCATAAACTGGTGACCTGCTGACATCCCACAGAAGCAAAAGTAGGCATGGCGAGCAAGATAAGACAGAGACAAAATAAGACAAAGGAGCTTCTTCTCCTCACTGTGATCACCACAAGAGAACACCAGGACAGCAGCATCCTCACCTCCAGACAAATCTTTGCTTACCACCTGTGGGGTTTTCTATAAGATAAGTGAGGCAAGGGGCTGTCCCAACACCCACACAAGGCCTAAATGTCAACAAGCCACATTCCTAAAACCACAGAAAACTGCAGGTGCAAAGCAATCTAGAGCTTTCATCTGAAGGGGAAGCTGATGAACTCTAAAGCTACAGCTGAAAATAGACAATCAGGGTTAAAGTGAAAATTACACTACAGTACTTTGTTTCCAACAGGACAGTGGTTCTTAACCTTGAGTTGCCACATGTTCTTGGACTAAAATGTCCAGAAACCTTCACCACTAAATGTGGTGGCCAAGATTTCTGGGAGTTGTAGTCCAAATACCTCTGTGGACCCAAGATTGGAAGCCATTGCAATAGGACTTAGTTAAACCTAATAGGAAATTCCTAAAGCAGGAGGTACTGTGGCCACTTTCCTTCATTCATCACTAATATCTGATACTGAGCTAGATACCATACTTGAACTGAGAGCAAGGAGGAGGACCACGTGACTCTCCAGATGTACTGGAGTACAACTTCTATCAGCTGCAGCCATTATAACCAATGGTAAAAGATTACAAGATCAGCTGTCCAGCAATATTTGAAGAGCTAAACATTCCCTAACCCTGACATGAAACTTATATATGAAAATAATGACTCTTACTCATTGTAAAGATGTCCACATTCTATGTCTTCCAGATGTTTTGAATGACAATCCCCATCATCCCTTGCCACTGTGTGTGCTGGCTTAGGATGATGGGAGTTATAGCCCAAAAACATCTGGTCAAACAGGTTTTGGAAGTTCCACAGCACTTGCAGCTCTTGTGGTGGTGGGAAGCACTGAACCAGAGGCTGATGGAGTACAAAAGACAGAGAAATGCACCTCATGCGCAGCAGTAGTGTCCATGCTTCTTCCATCTCACTGCAAAGCCTACCAGCTGTCTCCACTCTCCAGGGATCATGCAACAGAAATCGTCTGTCTGGCAACTCAACAACACTCCTAACACATGTAATCTGGAAGTGAAACCTAAACCATAGTTTCAGTTGCTAGCAGCCAGATTATCTTCCCTGCTGTACTGGTGTCTGTGTGCAAGGAGGCCTTAGGCGGAGAGCTTCACTCCAGGGTTCTCCATTGATTCATAAGTCTTAACTGTTTCCTGCACATGCAGGCAACTGTAACAAAACACTTTTTTTGTACATAAGAGACTTTTATTGTTTGTGCACACCTGATGTTCCTGTGACTGGAAGGTTATTTAAGTTCAAGAGCTTCTTTTGTGTTCAGCTTTTGGCACTTGGGATCAGACAGCTGAAAAATACATTCATTCTTTTTTGTACTGTAATTTCAAGGTGAGGCACAAATTTGTTTTAAATGTTTGGCTAAACCAACAAGACTGCCATATGTCTCTGTTTATAGGTATACTGGCTGAGATGTGCTTGATTTGAAGTTGTATCTTAGGTAAAATGATGCCTTCTTGAGTTGTGACTGGTAAAGACTAAAGTTTCATTTACAGATCTCAGCAAATCAAGGGTCCATAAGATATGATACCAATAGGTCCAACTATGGATCTATCTGAGCAAGAGGGGACAGATTCTGGGTGTCAAAAGATTCTCATGATCCAGCCTCTCCTTTTTAGTGTTTATCATGGATATTTCCTGTTTCAGTCTGCAAAGAACTGACGCCTCCAACTCTGTGTTGTACTTTTGTGATTGCTTATGGACAACCCATTATTTGAGCCCAAGGGGATTTTGCTGCCTGAAGCAAAAGACATGATGGCATATCCCTTGTTCCATTTGATTTTCATTTCAACACTGGTGGTAGTATACCCACCTAACATCCTCTATTCTACCTGAGGGAATAATGGTAGTTAGGAACCTAGGCTCGCAATGTAGCAAATGCAGTTCTGTCCTCATCCCCTCAGTATCTGCTACCAGAGGCAGCTGTCTTCCTCTGTCCAATGGTAGGGCCAGCCCAGATTTCCAAACATCAAGAGATGAGAGAGTAGACTGAAACTTTGCTGGCAATAGCTATGGTTTTTAGAATGCCAAAGCTATGCACATCCCAAGCATCCTCAAGCTTCTTTGCAGTAGTAGGAAAAAGTGAGACTGTTATTGGTGCTGAGTAGCTATTGTGACAGAGCAGAGCTGTCCGCTCCCAAAGCAACACTCCCAGTTTTTTTCCTTAACTTTGAACTAGAGAGCCCCTTTCCCCTGAGGTAATGGTTGTCTCTATGAGGCATGGAGCCATTTGTCTTGGGATCCAACTGCAGAGCTGATCCAGGTGTCATCCTGAGCTACTAGTTAGAAGAAAGTAAGGTCTTCTCATCATCCAGGGACAAATGAAGCACTTAAGGATGTAAGAACCAGCCTGGTTCAGAGGAAAGGCCTAGCCTAGGTTTCTGATTCACAGTAACCAGTTAAACACATGGAAGGCCCATAAGCAGACACAAGTTTGTCAGCACCTTTCCCCTTATGTTATTCAGCAACCATATTGAGGGATATGCTGCCTTTCATGGTGGGGGTAACGTATTATCATCATGATAGCCGCCCAGAGTGGTAGAATATACCAGATGGGCGGGATATAAAATAAATAAACAAACAAACAAACAAACAAACAAACGAATGAATGAATGAATGAATGAATGAATGAATGAATGAATGAATGAATGAATGATCGGTAAACACTGAGGGTCTTAACCTCCTTGAAATTCATGACAGCTAGGATGGCAAATGGAAATGTGGGCCACTGCAGAGGGAAACAGGCATTCCTCGAGGAGCGTCAGATAGCTTAGGACTTTGAAAAGCAAAAGCAGCACTTTAAATCATGTGCAGAAACTAATTGGAAATAATTGTAGAACTTTTAATTGAGTGGAAGTGTGACCCCTACGGAAAGCTGCATTTTAGACAATCTGAGGGAACATTATAACAATCTAATTTGTGTCTCATTGTGTCACATGTGACAGTCCCCTAGTCCTTCAAATGCAGGAATAAACGGTGAACCAGCCAGCACTGGCAGACGGAATATATACTCATTTAGCCACAGCAGCCACTACAAGCAATATCACAAACATGAGCTAAACCAAACAGAACAATTGGTCTTTATATGACAATGTGACTTCATCCATAAAGCAGGGAGAGAGATTGCATTCTCTGTCACTAGCATTTTGCATTAACATCTCTAAGCTTATTTGAAATGAAGTGTGTTTGTTTATTAACTTCTTTCAGTAAAAGCCTCTGAGATGGTTGACAGTACAAATTAAAGTCACACATTTAAAAGAAATACTGTATATCAATAAAATAAATATTAAGAGGAAGCCAACAAGACCCACTAGCAAAAAATAGCAAGAAAACTCCCATCTTTGGAATCTGTTTAGAGAATCCATCACCACACTGGCATTATAATAAAAGAAAAACAGTGATGATGTGCTCAGCATTAAGCACACTGCCCACTAAACCCCATGGAGATCACTGCTACCGATATCATTACACTGTCAAATAGCCTAGGAACAAATATTAAATCCTGGAGCATCCCACAAGGGATTAATCCCACCTAACATAATCTTGAGATACTTTATTATAGGATAGCAGTGCAGCTACTCCAACTCCTAATTCTGACGGGTAATCTAGAAAGATGTGCCATTGGCTTTATCAAAAGCTACTAAGAATTCTAGAAGAAGCAACATGGGCCCAGTCTCTTAGTCTATCTGGTAACAGAGACCATTCTGTTTACTAAGTAGGTTCAAATCCACAGAAAAAACAATCCCAATATCTTATTCAAAAGTACCTGCAAATTTTCCACTACTGTAAACTCAATCTTTCTACAAAAGGGGGGGAAAGTACTGTATATTGGAGGCCATCCAAAATTTTTCCACATTAAATGGGTCCAGGAAGGGTTTCCTTAACAAAAGGTTTAGCACAGCTTCCTTTCAAGGGAATGAGGAAATCAGACTTTTAAAATAATATCACTTCCGTGACTAATCTGGTCCATCTCTCTTGGCTATATATTGGTAAACACACATATGGAGAAGTGGACATCTCCAAGAACTTTGTTCCCATTGTTGTCTAAGGATTAATCTCATCCAAACAACTGTGAGAAAAAGAATCCAATGTTGAATAAGAAAAGAATTATGATCATTAAAAAAAAAACCTACAAAGGGGTTTAGGAACAAGTCATAAAGGATAGTGAATTCAGCCAGAGGGAAAAAAGCTCTGCTGGATTATCAGAGCTTGGAAAACTGTTGGCCATGCGGATAGGCAGCTGTTGTCTGAAAGCTGCAGTCCAAAAAAATAATGTTTCCACACAGACAAAACAACTATTGAGAAATAAGAGTTTCCAGCACCAGCTCTGCCCAGGTCTAGATCTTAAGCTGGACCTTAGCCAGAGTCTTCCATAGCCTGGGATCAAAGAACCTGCTGCTTTATCCTCCAGAACGTGAAAAGAAACCTTGGGCTCTGTGAATGAGAGCATCTGTGTGCAATAGTGACCACTGTCAAAATTGTCTGCCTGTTCCAGAATCCTAGTAAAGTTACAAGAGGATAGTTAGTGAGGTTAACCTGAAAATGCAAGGTCAGTGTTATTGTGGTAATGGGAGAATTTAAAATAATTCCAAGCCAAAGCAACAGCAACACTGTGATCTTGCCTGGTCACCCTTTGGCCCTCTGCTGAATTAAAAGCAAAGAAGATGAATAAAAAGACCAAATAGATGCTAAATAAAGAGAAGGAAAAAGTGCCCAATAATCTTTCTGAGAAGATCAAAACATCTCTCCAAATTTAAAATGAACATAATTTACTTACAATGTACCTTTGCATTCTCATCTTGTCACAATCACAGGATTTAAAAAAAATACAATGAAAACTGAAGTAATTGTCCAAATGATTTAACAATGGCCCCTCCCTGTGACAACCTGACCACACCAAACATACACTTCTTAAAAATTTTACTTATGAATATTGTCCAGAAAAGCAAATTCTTATTTTTAATTATCAATACAAATTAAGAGGTTTGCATGCTTACCAACTGATTGCTGTACCAATATAATGATGAAGCTTTCAGGACACACCAGAACTTTTTCCATTTGCTGCCAATAAAGCTTATTTTTTCCCTTTTTTTGTACAGCCATCCCTGACAATCAGCCAGTCCCAAATCCTTACAAGAGATTCTCCGCCGACTCATTCCACAAATTTCTGCAAAATTAAAAATAAAACAGGTGGCATTTTAAAAGAAACAATGCAGAGTGCTATTGTTGTTTTTCCTTTTAACTGTAATCTATAATGCTTCACTGTACATTTTAAGAAACTCTCCATTGAAGCAAGATACAGATTTAAATTCATTCCTTGGTATCGTCCTTAGGAAAAACCACAGATTAAAACGACTTCAATAATAATAGCTAGATATAATGATTAGGACAAGCTTAAAAACAGATTTGTCAGAAAATTACCTACTTGTGGCACAGGCAGAAGAGAACACACACAGACAGAGACAGAGAGAGAGAGAGAGAGAGAGAGAGAGAGAGAGAGATTCACACAATCGTTGCTACTATCATACCAAAACAGTGTAGTCCAAATGAAGAACCTGTCATGATCTCTCCTGCTGAATCGTGGTAAAATAAAACTAAGCAAAATGATAAGAGGTGTTTGTAATCAGCTCAGTCACACGACAAGAACCTTTTCCCTTCTTCTGAGCAAGATAAAACACTAAACAAAAAGAGGAAGAAAAGGGGATCACATTACCTTGATTTTTCTTTCTCGTCTTCTGACGCAAAGGAATCTACAAATAATACAGGAAGGAAAGGAAAGAGGAAATTTCAAACTGTGTTGCAAGACTTGTAGAAAAAGGAGGAGGGGGGAGAGGAGGAGGAGGAGGAGATAGTGGTGGTATCACCCAGAGTAGAATGGACTCTTTCAAACAAACACAGGCAGAGCTAATTAGGAAGCCAGTAGATGAAGCAGAAAATGCTGTAATGAAAATTGATTCATGAGAGGCTCCAGAAGAGAATGTGCAGGCACTCTTCTGACACTATCATGAAAGCTTCCTGTTTTGCACCCACAGACAGCCATTCTGTCTACGGGTAGCTCGATACATGAAGTCAAACCAAAAGCAACAAAATCACACCGTGAAGCTTGCTTGTCTTGAGAACAGCTGTCGAAAAGGTGCATGGCACCGAAAGGAGGCATATGTGCATGCTAGGCATTGGTACAGTGAGTGCTAACTTTCACATCGCCACCGAATAAGAGGCAGAGATGCAAGGAAGGGGAAAGAGGAGCATACCTTTGTGGCTGGCTCAGTCCAGCAAAATCCCAGTGAAATCAATGAGACTGGAGTATCATCTTCATGCACATCCTGTGGTAATGTATCTATCAATGACTGACAGCTGAATATCTGAACGGTTTCCAATGGAAACGGTTATGCTTATGGGGATAGGAAAGCTGTCTCTGCAGTGCTTGACCTGGACCGTATGGTGATTGACCTGGGCTGTTGTTTCATACATGCAAATTAGCAGCTGGCATGAGGCTCCAATAGTAGTGAGTATGGATTGATTGATTGATTGATTGATTGATTGATTGATTTGTTTATTTATTTATATCCCGCCTATCTGGATTGCATGTTTAGATCCTTGTCATCCTCAGATGGCCTCATATGCAAGGGTGGCAAGAGTGCCAGGAGAAGGTCGAGGACAAAACAACACATTCCAAGGAAAAAAGGAAAGGTGGTACTGTCAAACTACTACCCTCATAAAGTTAAACACTTCAAAGAGAATGGTTTGGCATTCCTTCAGCTTGATCTGTCATTCACTGCCCTTAACATTACAGCTCAGGAAATGTCCTCATCCTCAGACTTTCTCCTGAGTGACCTTTTCTCTTGTAGCCATAGCTGTCTTTTATGCAGTTCCTCTCATGACATTTACCAAAAACTAATTATTCGCTTCCCATTCCTATATGTCCCAGTTGCCAGCTAGGGTCCCTGGGGCCTCTTAATTCCTTCTGCTCCTGAGAGGTACTTGTCAGGTGTCTCCCACGCAATGCCCCATGTTCATTCTAAGTTCCATTCCACAGAACCATCTTGTGAGCAAAGCTTATGCTGTTGTTCCTGCTGCTGTTTGTTACATTCATAACTTGGCTTTCTTCCAGTAAACTCAAGGCAGCATATGTCTCTCCTCCTTCCTATATTATCTCACACCAGTCCTGGGAGGTAGGTCAAGCTGAGGCAGTGTGATTGGGCAATGTTGCTTTTCTTCACTACAGTTCCAGGAATCACAGAACCCGCTTTCTACTAGCCATGCCGGCAGGCAGATTCTGGAAATGTGTAGCCCAAAACATCATCTTCTCCCTCAAAGTTTTTGCTTTTGAATAACTAGAATTAAATCCAAATTTCAGCTTGCTACATTCTGAGGAACCCCAAGAAACAAGTGAACTAGAGACCTGACAAATTATGTATGTTCAACAAGTGATTCACAAGGTGAATTCAACATATACAAGACACAGGAAAAATTAGCCTGAGGTGAACAGGGGTGTAGTGGGGGTTGATAGACCTTGTTTCAACATGTAGAAAGCCATTTAATAAATTATTATTGTCTTAAATAACTTTGGAGGGTAATTGAGGACACACAGGTTGACTATCGAATCAAACATGTATTCAAACAACATAACAACACCAACATAATTTAATATAATTTACATGGTAATCAGCCAATGAACTAATGACAAGTAACAATGAAAATACAGCTGCAGTAGACAAAAGAAAAACCATTTCAAGCACTGATAAAGAATAATTATTTTGTCATCCAAGTGGCAGAATGGAAAAGGATGAATGAACTTTGCCAAATTACAGTTTCAGAAACTTTGCCAATTTCATAAATTTGGTAACCTCTTCAACATAAGCACCTTCCTGTTGCTTCAGATGGTGGAATGGGGTAGAATTGGGGTTTCTGATATAGAAATTCATATGTGAATAATTGGATTTAGATCACCCAATTAGGATAATATCAATTTAAGTAAGAATTGCCCATGATACACGAGATATGGATCATAAGCATGCATACTGTGTTCTGTGGGATTTACTCCCAGGAAAGTGTGCTTAGGATTGCACCCCTACTGCGAAAAAGGAAAATGTGAGATCATCTCGTGTTTCAAAATATGTGTTGAAACAAACAAAAAAAATCCCTGCATCATCACCATAACGCTGGTGAGTATACAAGTAAACTTCCTACTGTGTTGTCATAGATTTAAACAGAACCATTGCTTCAAAAATTGCAAAATCATTCCAGAACATTTTTGAAATCCAGTTTAAGAAGAAATTACTTCCTCTGTACAAATATGGTATTCCTAATAGGATTTTCAAGGTATAAGAGATATGTGTGGAGCAGTTTACAACTGCCACCCTGCAGTCAGCTTTCAACTCATCTTCTGAGGCCTTGTCTGGTGACATTCTATCTACTACACTACAGTGGCTGTCAGTGCTTTATACTGCCATACTAAAATGAACACATTGATTTTATTTTGGAAATGAAGAAGAATCAGACCTGCTAACTACTTGGATGGGGACCGCCGATGAATACCAGGGATCTTCAGTTGGGAAGGAAAGAATCTTGCCTGAAACCATGCACAGCTGCTGTTGGCACTGATAGGACTGGGCTAAATAGTCCAATGGTGTGACTCAGTATAAGGCAGATTCCTATATTCCTGCTTTTCCTGTTTATGTCAGGGCAAGACACATAAGCATTTAAAATGTACTGTATAATTTGGAGTTTTGAAGTACCGTATTTTTCGCTCCATAAGCCGCACCTCTCCATAAGACGCACCAAATTTTTAGGAGAAGAAAACAGGAAAAAATAATCTGTTTTCTTCGCTCCATAAGACGCACAGACTTCCCCCCCCTGTTTTGTGGGGGGAAAGTGTGTCTTATAGTGCAAAAAATATGGTAACTCAAAAGTACAATAATTTAAAATGTTTGGATTTAACTTGGGACCAAAAAGAACAGGGTCATTTCAGAGTACCTCCTTGAGGAGGCCAGTCAAAGGTTGGACACCATGAAAGCCCTGCTTTTTCATACACGTTTTTCTCCTTAGGACAGAACATGGAGAAACCTTTTCTGTAAATCTTATTGCTTAGTTGATATGGAAAGAGATGTTCATTCAGATACTATTTGGGCCCCAAGCTAATCTGGTCTACGGTAGTAGGTACCAGGACCTTGAATGAGGCAAAGCAGCATATAGAGAATCAGGTTAGTTCCTTCAGAACTGACAGAACATAATTCCATGTAATTTAAGAGCAGGTAGCATACACAGACCATTTGTTTCAGCAGGACTCCCAGCCCACCCTTTATGTCCTCCCTAGTGTGTGGGAGAGAGAATGAAGCAGCAACTGTGAATTGAATTTCAGACAAAATGAGCAGGCTATACACACCTTGATTTCAAGATAATTAGTATTTCCAATAGGATTCTAGAAGTTTGAATCAGCTTGAAAACCAAACGGAAGTGCAGTAACAAAGGAATGCATAGCTCCTCACTGGTTTGGAGGGGAGAGATAATGTGTTATCCTTGCCTTTTCCCCGATCTGATTTTCTGAAATAGTGGACTATCATTACCCCGTTAAGCATTTATACAACCTCCTGGATTAGGTTGCCCAGTCAGCAGCATCTTATTCTCCAAGAGTGCAGGGCCAAAACCTGGGGTCAGAGGGCAGAGCCTTGTGATGTCATAGAAGCAGGGCAGGCAACAGTTGAGAGGCAAAAGCTCCTTCCTGCACCAAAGCTGCCAGATCTGGAGCTAGAAGAAGACAGTTAAATTATGGCACTTGTGCTCTATTCTTCATCTTGCTCCTAATGACATGCTATATCCAAGCCTGGTGTGCCAAGGAGCCCATTGTGCAAATACAGAGGATATAAACAATTCAAATTTTATCATCTCCAGTAAAAGGGGTATATTGATACATGGAGATACACTATTTTAAAAATAGTCAACTGCTATGAGATTCTATGCTCCTCCATGTGAGGGGGATGAACTACCACTTTTTTTTTTGTCAACAGGAGAACAAAAAATGTGTTCTTTCAGTTTAGCGCACTCTCATATTTTTCACTGTGTTTTGCGCACTATGCAAAGGTACCTCCTCAGTTTTAAGGCAAAAAGGGGCTCCAGTGTGTGAAAAATGCACAAATGTTCTTGCAGCCTACCTGGTGGGGAATAAGCTTTTGAAATTTTCAGTCTCAGCTCTGAGAGCAGAATATGCAAAGATATACATCCCTAACACACCCACATACACGCAGTGTTTCGTGGTGAACCGATGAGGCCTGGCTAACACCAGCTGGCAATAGCTGCCTAGGCACTGACGCTACCTCACCCTGAAATTTCTCTCCACCTGACATGCTAGAGAAGCAAAACAATTACCTGAGACCAGGTAACAGTATTCTGGATCTAGCTAGTTTCCCCCCTTTCAGTCAACAGCAAGGGCTGACAACTGGGAAACTTCTCCAAACACCTTGCCCATATCCTCAGAGCACAATCCTGGAAATCTCATAGAACCAGATCAGGCAATGCCCTGGACACCTACTACTGAACTGTATCAATAGTGGATGGCCGGCCAAAACAAATATAAGCGACATTATTCTCAACATATTTCACAGCAGGCCTTTGATGGTTCCGAACAGGGGAGGATTTCTATGACATGCCATATTTTTTCTGCAGCTCATGTTTGAACTTG